CGGATTCTCAATTTCTCATCTACAGCATTCAAACCATCGTGCAAGTACTGCCCAAATTGGACTTGAATAACCCATCAGATGGGCTCCAGATGTCCATTGCACACGGTTTAGCGGAAGCACTTCTTCTCGCATTCCGAGCCAAGGTGTCCGCAGAAACGTCAAGCGAATACATTGTGGACCATCAAGAATTCGCCACGCAATCTTCAAGATTGCTCCGCTTTGCACTGGAGAGCGACAACACCAACATGGACGAAATTTCATCCTCAGCCATGGTGAAACTTGTCTTGGAAACTTTCATCGAAGCGTGCCTACATGATGAACGAATTTGGACTCATGTGGAGGCTGAAGCTGACTTCAAAGACTTGATCGTCACTGCGTTCGTCGATGATCCTCGAACTGATGTGCGGCATTCGATCCTTGAGGTTGTAGTTGGTTTGACCGGTGCGGTCGGAACAAAGCTGTACCTCAAGATTAACAATCCACGAGCACCACGATCACGCTTTCCACCCGCTTCAATTGAGACTTGTCTGTCACATTTGTGGACTGCTCTGGCGGACATCCTGCCGCATGCGTGTCTGCAGCATGAGCGCTGCGCCGAAGTCTGCGAGACAATGCTTGCTATCCTAAGAAGGATAGGCAAATCTTTTCCTCTTGAGATTGTTAAACAGTACTTTGACCAGTGGATCTCCATCCTCCTGAAACACGAGCACGTCGAGGTTGTCGGCCAACCTCTCAAGGATCATGTGGTTGCCTGTCTCACCAAGCTGCTCCTCGAAAACTGCAAACTGCTCAAGGCGTTAAATGCGCTTCCTCCTGGCCATCAGATTATCGACGAGATCATTACATTATTCCTGTTCCCACCACTCTCCGAGAACGGTGCAGGGGTGGATGACAACTCGAGGTTACCAGTTCTGGACAGCACTGTACGGGAGAGCTTGTATAATCTGATTCTTGCCCTGTGCCAAGGTCCGGAAGAGTTCACAACAGTTGTCACCAAGTTGGGGGACGACTTACTACCTCCAGACTTTTTTGAACCCATCTATTCGCACGACCGGCAGAATCTTCGGACAGATGTCGGCTACGCCGGGCTACGAAATCTTTCCAACACTTGCTACCTCAACTCGTTGTTTTCCCAACTCTTCATGAACGTGCAATTCCGGGAATTCTTTTTGAACATGTTGGGCTCCGACGAATCGAAACAGAAACTCGTCTTAGAACTGGCAAAGGTCTTCGCATATATGCAAAATTCCTATGAAAAGTCTATCGATCCCTCAATGGCGGTTGAAGCGATAACGACTTATGAAGGAGAGCAAATTGACGTGTCGGTACAGATGGATGTGGATGAGTTCTTCAATCTGCTCTTTGATCGCCTCGAGGGCCAGATTGATTCTTCGGCCCGGGCGGCATTCAAGTCGATGTACGGCGGACAGCTGGTCCAGCAAGTCAAGTCGAAGGAGTGTGACCACATTTCGGAACGACTGGAGCCCTTCTCCGCTGTTCAGGTGGAGATCAAAGGCAAAGCCCGTCTCGAAGACAGTCTTCGTGCGTATGTCGAGGGAGAAGTTCTTCAAGGCGAAAACAAATATTCTTGCACCTCATGCGGCCGCCACGTGGATGCTGTCAAGCGAGCCTGTCTGAAAGACGTACCTGACAATTTGATATTCAACCTCAAGCGATTCGACTACGACATCATGACTGGGATGCGGACAAAAGTCAACGATGAATTCCAGTTTCCCGACACTCTCGATATCGCACCTTATACTCTCGCAAGACTTAGCGACGAGCAGCAATCCGGAGAGCCAGATTACTTCCAGCTCACTGGTGTCATTGTTCACTCTGGGACAGCAGATTCTGGTCACTACTATTCATTTATCCGCCAGCGGCCGTCAGCGAAACCCGTCCACGAGTCTTGGGTCCAATTCAATGACCAAGACGTCGGCGTTTTTGATACCAACCAAATGCGTGACAACTGCTTCGGGGGCACTTCAGAAGCCGGCTTTTACCATCTTCCCAAGTTTTATAGTGCTTACATGCTGTTCTACCAGAGGACATCGAGCATTCGCAAGGTCGAGGAGCGGTATCGTTGCCACGACCCGATCAATCCTGTACGAATTCCCTTGCCGCGTCGACTGGATCAACACATATCCCAACAAAATGAGCTTTTTCTGCGTTCTTACTGCGCGCAAGACCCGTCACACGCGCAATTCATCCAGAAGTTCCTCGAACGCATGCCACAGGGTTCGGATAAATGCAGCGACAATCACAGCCTCGAATCCGCTGTAATTGAAATGGTTCTGGACTATTTGCGCTCAGTATCTTCTCGCTTCAAGGAACAACCATACTTTGAAGAGACCATCGGTGTTCTTCTCACTTACACACAGCAGTGCAAGAACTGCACCAGGACCATAGCTCACTGGTTACAAACCGTCCGGGTCCTTGAAGATGTGGTCGTCCGTAGCCCGTACCAGATCGTCCGGAAGTCGTTTACGAACCTATTCTGCGTTACGTTTAATCGACTTCGCTCCGTCAAGAACGAACTACGATCTGGTCCGGAATTTGAAAAGGTTGCGGCAGAATACGATTTGTGGCTTCAGAGCTGTCTCAATCAGTTATCTCGATTGTGGGACGTGGTAGCCAAGACAGGTCGTTGCTGGACAGACTACTTCGGTCTCTTATTCGCGGTACATCGGTTGGGCGAAGAGGAAACCCTGTTCGTCCTCGAAGAAAACTTTCTCGAAAAGTGTGTCGATATCATCATGATGCACTTGAACAATCAAGCCGAGTTCCCGTTGTCCAGGAGGCTCAAAACACGCTACGCTGCATACTTGAGTGCCCGAGAGAGGAATCGACCATTCAACCACCCGGTGCTCATCCGCCTCTTTGTGAGCTTACTCCTGAGTGTCGACCTCCACTTACCTGCCAACAGAGATTTTCGCCAATATGACAAGCGAGCCGGTTTGACTGTTCCTGAGATGGACATGCTCGGGTTTAACAAGATTCCCCCCAACTTGGAATGGCTCAGGCGCCTGATTGCAGGACGGCAGAATCCGTCAATGGCGGATAATCTCATCGAGGTGTTCTCAACAGACCGGAGACTGGCTGGTGCACTCTCCATCATCCTGGTGAATGGGCTCAATGACCGGAGCATCAACATAGCCAGTGCCTTCCTCCGGCCAGTCCTGGCGTTCTGCGAGTATTGTCACTCAGAGAATCAGATATTCGACCTGGTTCAACCCGCCCTGGAAAGCATCGCGACAGTAGGCGTGGAATATGCCCGGGAGTATTTTGAGTTTGTTGAAGCCTTGTTGAAGGTGGAAAATGGCCACCTTAACCTTCCCGCGGGTTTCCTCGAGGACCTGGTCCTGCAGACGGTGCATCAATGGGCGCCAACGTTCTTGGTTGCACCCAATGAAGGTCAATTCAACATCCGTCTTGGGACGGTGGACTTGCTCAAGAGGATCCTGTTCACCCCTCTACAGGAGCCTGCTCTCCAAGACCCTCGGGTTTACTCGACACTTGTCACGGCGGTGCACGATTTGGCGACTAGCTGTTCCCACTTTGTGCAGACCACCTTCTTGAATCCCCGCAGTCGAGAAAGTAACACGCTCCAGCCCGGCCAAGTCAGCCAAGTGATTGATGTGGTGGAACATTGTCTCACATACTTTGAACTCGAGAATCCAGTACATGAGGAGAAGATGAGTGAAATCCAGAACAACATGCTTGCATTGAGAACCAAAGCTGAGACAGCCGTCGAAACTCTGAGCTCGGCTGATTGGCAGGACGGTAGCAGTGAGCTGGCCGAATTGAGCGCCGAGGACTATGAGGATCCGCTTAGCCCGTGAGATCATTCATATACAACCCTTCTGGCCACGCACGGATTTAAGCGGCAGCAAGCAATGGCTCTGGCGAAGCCTTCGACATCATTGAATGGAAGAGTCTTTTCGGAAATATCTTGGGCGTGCAGGTTGGGCGTCGATGGACTGATTGGCCCGGGATAGCGAAAGAGTAATGCTTTGGGAGGACCAACACGCGGGTCTCCCGATAATGATGATGATGCATGATGAAAAGAAAAAGCGAGCAACCCTGCTTGAAGAGTTTTGATGGCGCATGGAGCAAAGTGGTGAAGATCGATATGACGGGCACAACATGGCTAAGTCAATTCAGGTTCCGGGCGCCGTGTGAGGATGATTCTAAGTTGGGAGCAGCTTGGGCAGATAAGCAGGGATGAATTGATGTTGCCCGACTTCAACGCACGCGACTGGAACGAGGACCTTCTGCTTCTGGGAGTCACGCCGGTCCCGTCTAATGGAAGAATTGTGGAAGCTGTTTTGAGGCGCTAAAGGACGAGGAGCAAGCGACAGACTTGGTTCTATTCTTCCTCAGGAAAACGTGAGAACACGACAGGGAGAAAGGAGCCTCGACCACATGAAGGATGACGGCCAACGGCTCCCCACTCGCCTCTTCGGTTATTTTGCTATCAAATTCAGGGGCCAGGGAAAAGATGGGTGGGAAATTCAGTCCGGTATTCATTCATTTGGGGATCTTTCTGGTACCGTCATGACTTTAATGAAATCAAACGATTAGCGACGATCGAGTCCATTTGTCGGGATATTTCTTTCTTCTCTATCTCAGTGTTCCTGCCCATCCAGGTGCTTGTTGTTGTGTCGTTGATGACCAGCGACAAGTATCTTCTCTTGACGCCCCCATTGTTGTGCAACCAACCCACAGCCCGTAGTATACGATATACTCCATACAAAAGTCCATCTCTGGCCCCTTTCCCCCCAAATCCAGGACGCCCAACGCTGAATAACTTGCAGAGAAACGCAGAGAAACTCAGAGGAGACAGACAGATAGAAGGACGCCACAGGACTCCCCGGTGGAATCAACTGAATTCGATTGTCCCGTCGTAAGAAAGGAAAGCCATACCAGGAAAACAAAAATCGGATCGACGGGTAAAGGGTAGCGAGAGAGAGTCGACAGCCGTCGTAATTGTAATGGTTTCATAAAGTCTTGACCCTCATCCACTCGCCCGTCCCGACTCCCAGGTTCAGTCCGTTCCGCGCCCACCACTCTCTGACTTCTCCTTCGCCGCCGCCGCCGACCGCGTCTTCCATGGCCTCTTCAATGTCACACGTCTTGTACTCGACTCTCAGGCCTGTCTTGCGACTGATCTCCTTCCACCACTGGAGAACGCCGGCATGGCCATTCTTTGTTGCCCCAACGAGGACTTGGTTGTCGAAAATCATCTTGCTCCCTTTGAAGCGATACCACAACTCGAGCACGGGGACGTGGCCATGTTGGGACGCAAGTCGTGCGACCCCGTCTTCGTGTGCATACGGAATCCCCGACGTCTCCCACCACTCAATCGAATTAGTCCGGCCACTCTGCGCCGCTAAGAGGATGCTCTTGCCGACCTTGAGGGGCATTTCGCGATCGGTGCCAGCCAGTTTCAGGGAATTCTCCTTCCACCATTCAAGGACCTCCACGTGCCCTTTGGCGCTGGCTGATTCCAAAGCCTTTTCTGTGTATGTGAGTTTCAAACCCGAATTGAGCCACCAATCTAGCACCTCGACGAATCCGGCGCGGGAAGCACCGTCCAAGGCTTCAGGACCATATTCCTTCTTGATCACGGCAGGACAATCTTTCCACCACTGCAAGATCGTCGGGGAGTTGTAGATCAAAGACGCCTTGTGCGGCAGAAGTGCCAACCCAAAGGAAGTCCAGAATATGTCCTTTTGGTGAAGAGCCAGGTATGTGAGGAGGTCAGTCATAGAAAAGCGAAAGATGAGCCGAGTCGCAATTGGTGAGAGGGTAGTTGGGGGGTTTGAGGACGCTTTGGTGGTGAAATATTTCTGGATTTGGGATATGGGTTGCGTGAGGATGGTGTATTCGAGCGAGGGAGACTTGGATGATCCTGGCTGTGGGATGAGCGTCTCCCACTCGTGAGGCACAGGTAGGTGTGTGAAGATTCCTAGGGCGGTGGCGAGTTCCCAGTCACCGAGTGAATCCAGAATCATGGTCCAAATCTCGCTGGGCAGTCGAGGCTTGGTAGAAGCAGATTTGGCGAGTGGGAGATCTGGAATGGTCGAGTTTGTCTTGAGATAAGTGGCCCGAAGGACTGATTGAGCTTCGCTCTCGATAGCTTCGATCATCTCCGCCGGTCCAGCCCATTGCCAGCGGAACTCTGGGTTAACGTCTCCATCCAAGGAGTTTGCTCCTGACTGAGCGAGGCTGGTACCATTCTCCGAGTACTCAAAAATGGCCGGAGACAGAACACGGACCCAGTCCCATTTTCTCCGCAGTTCGTACAACTGCCTGTTCCAGATGGGATGTCTGTATTGATCTCTGCTCAACTCCGGTAACAGATCGATTCTCTTTGACACATCCCAGCATCTCAACACATGTAGAAGGACATCGGTAGTGAAGCCGCTTAGCATGAAGCAAATCATGCCAGCATCGATAGCGAGAAACATGAAATCGGCCCATCTCGCCAGACGGTGGCCTAACATCATAACCTCGTTGCGGTGTGGATCTTGGGGCTTGTTCTCTATCCATTGTACGTTGTCCAAACTGACCCCAGGGGCCATATGCTGTTGAAATTCCGACTTTGAGAGTTCCGATATCACTCGCAGGTTTAGGTTGGGGTTGTGGAGGAGGTAGGGCAGCAGTTCTGGCCCTATTCTCTGGCTCACGTAGAGAAGAGCGTTGACCCGCCGACGAACCGGGCGAGGTTGTACTGGGCGTTCCATGGTCCGAGACAGTCTCGAGGTTTGTCGAGTTTCGACGGACGGAGGGGTGGTAGGACAAACGCGCAGTTTTGCCAGAGGGTGTTATAAGTCTAGTGTTCTGATCATTGGTGGCGAAAATGGTTTATCGGGATCGTGGCGGTGGGAGGGCTTCACGATAAGCGGCAATGTAACCCGGCGAGATGCGGAAGAGGTTCGCTGGAAAGAGGCTTGAGATTCGGGTGTTGTGGGCTGGACGTGACTTGAGGGAGTCTTTATCTCTTTTTGCAGACCTCGAGAAGGAAATGAATGGGAAAACAGGTGGTTTGACATTCGTCAATTCAACGCAGACAGTAGGGGAAAAAGTATGGGAAGAGGGGAAATTCAACCATGGCCGATCAGACCGTATGTGTGACCGCATTATTGGAGCCATGTGGCATGCTAGGGGCCACTTGATAGGCGGCTACCAGACCCGGCCCTGGTTCCTGTTATGTAAGTCAGCATTGGCAGCCTCTGGTAAGCCGATTGATGGGCAGCGGGCTGGCCTCCCCTCAGGGCTTCTGGGGGTGGCCACCGCCACTAATCGTAATACCTACAAGCAGTACAAGGGGTTACCACTCTAACCATTCACATCACCATCAACACCACAATATCTATCGCCCATCATCGCCATCTCCGGAAACTCTATCCCGTTCAGCCTGATGGAGGCACCCGGGCAGGACACTCACATCTCCTTCATCACCCTCTAGCTTTAGCCCTGAAACTGATACTTGCTATCAACAGAAGTTGAACAGGATCGAGACATCTCTGACACGGAGAGAACTCTGTCGTCTTCGCGGCCATGAGCTATCTGTCATCCGCCAATATGCCCCTCACCGACGTTGCTTCTTTTGTGCAACACCTCCAGTCATCCACACGCATTGTTGCTCTCTTGGGGGCTGGTCTATCCGCCTCCAGCGGTCTGCCTACGTTCCGCGGTGCGGGAGGACTATGGCGCACCTACGATGCCACCATGCTAGCCACCCCGGAAGCGTTCCAACAAGATCCTGGTTTATCATGGCAGTTTTATTCTTACCGTCGTCACATGGCCCTCAATGCCAAACCCAACAGAGCCCACCTTGCGTTGGCAGAGTTGGCCCGTCGCAATCCCAACTTCATCACCCTCAGCCAGAACGTGGACGGTCTCAGCCCTCGCGCTGGCCATCCTGCTAGCCAACTCAAACTCATCCACGGCAATCTGTTCGATGTGAAATGCTGGGACGAAGACGGCTGTGGTTATTCTCGCAAAAATGACTTCACAGACCCCATCGTCCCAGCTCTGGCCCTGCCACCAGAAGCCCAGGACGAACAGCTAAAGGCAGCCATCAGCCAAAAGAAGCATGCTCTACTTCGAGGTGCTGACATCTCAGATATTGATGTGGATATTCCTGCGCTCAAGCGTGAAGATCTTCCGCAATGCCCGTCGTGCAAGAAGAACCTGCTTCGCCCAGGGGTGGTTTGGTTCGGCGAGTCACTTCCCGAAGACGTGATGCGCGATGTAAACGAATACTTTCAAAAGCCTGGGAAGATTGACCTCATGCTAGTGATTGGAACCAGTGCCAAAGTATACCCAGCTGCCGGCTACACAAACATTGCCAGAGCCAAGGGTGCTCGAGTTGCGGTCATCAACATGGACCGCAGCGACGCACAAGAGCTCACAAAGCATGATTGGTTCTTCGAGGGAGACGCAGCCGTCATTGTCCCCGAGATATTGAAGAGCGTGATTGGAGAAGTTGGGGAGTTTGAGGAAACGAAGGGGCCAGTGTTATGAATGCTGAAGTCGTAGACGGTGAGTTGGACGACGACAATACGAGCCACATGTAACTCAACCTACGATATCAAAGTCGTCGAGGGGCAGGCAACAGCGAACAAAACATCTCACCAGGAACAAGATTTCACCGTGCATTGAATTCGACCAGCCCAGAACCATAGGCGCTTGCAGGCAGCATATTTGCGACTTTGGCCCGCGCCTTGGCTCGCTAGTTTGCGGTTGCTCTGGCCGGAGAATTGTTACACATATCAATACGAATGGAATGTCAGGAGACGACGAAAGGCTCTATTCTAGTGCCGGCTTGGACTCGATTGCCTTGGCGGTTCTTTTGATGCTTTGTGGATCATTTGTGCTGAGGGTACGATTCCGAGGACTGGGGGCCAAAACCATGCACCACAAGTCCATCACAGCCACAGCTCAAAGGTTCGTCTCGATCTTAGAAGTCCTATCAAAGCCATCGACCCTTGGTTCCAAGAGCCCTACGGCTGAGACCAGGCGAATCCCCTCGATCTGCCAATCATCCCCGAATACCGCTGTTCAACCTAGATATGCTTTCTTCAGGCAGTCTTCCTTTCCATCTCATTCGCTCTCGCCTTGCACAAGGCAACCAGCAGCCACTCGGACTATTCGAAGGCTACAACCCAGCCTAGGATATTATGGCATTTCGGTGTGTGCGCTTTTTGGCACACTGCATGGTCTGCTGCGAAACGAAACTATGCCTCTTGGTATCCCTAGAGGTTTTGTTGTAAGTTGTCTCTTTGAGAGCCAAGCCCGGGCTGGAAAAGAAAGATCTCTTCATGGTATGTACCAGAATATCCCATCTCACCCTCATGACTGTGCCAACACGCTCGATCCACGATCGGACTGCTCGTGAGGGTATCTGGGGAGCGCATCAGAAACACTCGCCCGAGTTGTCAATTTACTACCATGGCTTCTACGAATCCTTTCTGGTCATTTGTCACCCCGTTCACGGACGGCATGCCCCATGCCCTTTCGAGACGAGTGAGCTCTGTCCCAGACCATGACGATCACATACGGACGTCTTCCGCTGATGGAGCTCGAATCTATACCCAAACAACACCTGACTCAGCATGGTCCCAGGCGTCATTCGAAGAAGTGGACTTTACCTACAATCCCTCTAAGAGCAAGAATACGGCGCGCGTGGACGATGCTGCCTCCGTCCGGCCTGGCAGTTGGCCCCTGACTGAAAAATACTATGCGCTCTCATCTGCAACCCATGATCTAAGATGCCCAAGATGGACGCTCTGGAAAGCTCTTCTTCTTCCTACCTCGACCATCATCCTGCCAATGGCCTTCCTTGTTGCCGGGCTTCTAGCGCTCATCTTCGGCTACCGGGTCAGATCCGAAGACAGCTTGTTTGAAGAAGTGTCCAACTCTCACGTCTTGAGTGACCGGGCTGTTGTCTTGGTCAATTATTCAGCAACTCGGATCGCATTTGTCGCTTCATGGGCGTCGACGCTTGCCCCTCTCCTTGCTAGCTTCATCATGAACCTGTCCAGTTTCCAGTCTGCTCTCCTCATGTATACCTCCTCCACAAGCCCGCAACAACAGGACCTTCCAACCCCATACCAGTACACCCTCCTTGTCGGCCTTTGCTTAGCTTCAATTGGCAGACTGGGAAGATACTTCTCCTACGCGAAAGAGGATGGAGTCATCATACCTCCGGCCCTCCGGCGCGCTGCGCAGACTCTTACATTGACCCTTGTCCTTGCCTGCATCGTCTTCGGTGCTGACACTGCCCTTCACTACACAACTTCAACCATCAACTTCGACCAAATATCTGTCTCACCTCTGTCCCATTCCTATGGGTACGGCTTATCGTCTACTTGTCTTGCCCTCAACCGCAGCGACAACTTTGGGCTACCATGCTCCCGTAACGGACAACTCGCCGCGGCGGATTACAACGCCTACGTCGCAAGCCAGAACGAGATCTTCTATCTTCAGCACGGCATATCCAATGTCAGTGAAGTTCGTCTCGTCGATATACCATCAGACGGACCAGCAAACGTCACGTCATCCGGCGCCGCCAAGGTGGCTCTTCTCATCCCTCGCAGCACTGGTTTGTCTCCTTTCCGTGACTTCCAAGCGTACACAACTGGTGTAATCACGACCTGCGAACCCATTAGCAACCTCTGCAACTGGACAAGTGGTGGTCCGGGAAATTACTATAGCCAGTTCAACTGCAGCGAGAACTTTTGGGGAGTGCTAGGAAAGTCTCCCAATGTCAGCGACACTGGCATGCTCGTCGACGATAGTTCTGTGCCGCCTTTGGGATTCAAGCGCGGTGCGGCCTTGCAATACTCATTCTATATGGACAAAGGACTGAGCATTAACTATGACTCGTCTGGCAGCCTGGGCCCGTTTGTGCCCGACTCGGAGCTCATTAACCCTGTATATGTCGGGGTCGCAGCACGTTTTCAGTCGACTGCCCAACGGGCTGGTGTGAATATGTCCTCCGATCCAGGGATCTATCAGGGTCCCACGCCTTACCTTGACTTCACGCTTCGATGCAAGTACACTACGTATCTTGTCGACTACAACTGGGTCAACTCTTCAGCCAAAGTAAATTCGCTGACTCCTTCCCCAAATGGCACAATTGCTGAGGTTTTCCACGGGTATAACATCTACGGCAGTTATGACAGCTTTGACAATGATCTCCAGGACTCCATGCTCGCGGCAGCACTACAGTCCAACCTGAAGCAACTTGCTGATACGTTCGCCAACAGCTATTCGTCGCGCGTGATGAGTGTGATTGGCCCATTCCTGTCCTCACGCACCAATCTGCAAGAACAGACGCGTACGCCATTGCTTGTGGCCAAAGTCCCCAAAGCGCCGCTGGCGATCCTCATCGCGGGTTGCTTGTGCTATATCGTCTTTGGCGTTGTCAGTGCTACATTGGCATACGGTGCGTTGAGGGTCGTGGATGTACGGGACCTGGCGTTTCGATTCAGCCTGCCTGCTCTGGGGCTACACGCTTTCCGAGACGATAATACTGAGAGGGACGCCGTGGACGTGGACACAATCCGGACAGGGAACGGGGTCGAAGAGGAGCGCAGGGTGTTTAACGAGACGAAAATCACGCGCGAGACTATGAGGGTCGCGGTCGAAGGCGAGCCCAGGACCGGCTTCGTCTTGAAGAGCCTGGTCTAGAACACAGGACTCACACTCACGGTCTACACAAAGGGAACCGACGTTCTTGCTGGCAAGATCTTCTCGGATCTCCTTTGTGTGTGTGTGTGTGCGCCGTGGGAGGAGGGTTGGGGGTCACAGTGATATTCATTTCTATCTTAGAGATTCGCATCTAGATATTTTTCCCTTTCCCGCTGAGAGGGAAATTGCAAGGGGTTTTAGACTGTTACTGTATAGTACTATACGCATCGAATGTACATGACGTTAACTGCTCTGCCCTGCTCTGGATATCCAGGTATTTGTCCTTGAGCCTCCTCTCTCTCTCTCTCTCTCTCTGTGTGTGTGTGTGTGTGAGCAGAAAAAAAACGAATATAGACTAAGAAAGGCTAATAACGAAGACGGGGCGGTGGAAGAGAGTGATAACCGGTAATAAGTAAGTGGTCCAGCAGGTGAGAAGAAGCCAGGTAAATGAGGTAGGTAGGTAGGCAAGTCTCGTATCAAGGATCGACCTTATGTTTCGTTCCTCTACCTGTAGTCAATCCAATCTCTATGGCTACCTGGATAGATAGATAGGTAGGTAGGTGAGTATTCTAGCCAGCCAGCTGGCCATACATGCAAGCTATGTAGCTCTTTCATTCATTCATTTCTCTTTCTCACTTTCATCAACGCCTGTGAGCACAGGGAGCCCCTCTTCTAGCGGAGTCAAAAAGTCCTTGTTCACATTCACGGCTCCCACTCGCGCCCCATCTCGGACACCGATCCTGTTCATGAAGCCCGCGCCGAGCAGGATCTGCTCTTCCTCCAATAGTCGCGACCCGTCAACGACGACAAACGTGTGGGCCAGCGCCTGCTTGGTCTCCTTGGGCCCGACCGTGACGCCTAGCGTGATTTCGAACGTCTTGGTGTCGTCGCTGTACGTGACTTCGTTGACTCGCTTCAACCCACGCACGAGATTCATGGTGATGAAACTGTCAAAGACTGTCAGGTTGATGGCGGCTAGCACCGAGACCGGATCTCCAGACGTGGTTGCCGTGACCATCGCAAGGACGTCGTGCAGTTTCTTCGGGGGCGCGCTGACGCGGGAGTCGGAGCCCGGGGTCGTGCAGCAGATTGCTTGGATGTATGCTGGGCAGGTCGGGGCACAGTAACACGGACAGGCTTCAGGGTGCTTTGGGCGGCCCCAGAAATGCTCTTGAATAGGGAAGATCCGGTCGAGAAGGTTCTTCTGTATGTCATCGTCGACAAGGTGAGCTCGTTCCGAACGAATCGCGCCTTCTCCTGGTCCTGGTTCTGGAGAAGCAGAGGCAGGTGTAAAGCAGCAGATGATTTGAACATTTCTCGGGCACCAGGACTCGCAATGGCAAGGACAGCCGAGTGGTGGACGGGGAAGAGGACGTCCAATACCGGGAAAGATCGGACGAGAGATGAATGTATCAGGAGAGCCAAAGTTCCTGTCAGTGGTCGCCGGTGAAGTGTCAAGCGCACAGCATCTCGGGTTACACCCAGGGGCACAAGTCAGGCATCTCGGTGAGCAGTCTGCATTGGCCGGGGCGTAATCGTCGACGATATCGTGCCATTTGAACCCGTTTTCCCACTTTTCCTTCCAATCGAAGTGATCTGCGATAAATTCTGGTCAGTAACATGGTCGCCAGTGGAGGACCCGAGAGACTCGCTTACCCAGTAGAGACTTGTACTTCTGGACTTTGGCAGGGTCAAGGGCTGTGGCTCCAGCCGCGTTGGGAACAACATACTGTGATGAATTAGCTGCATCGGCAGCAGCGAGAACTGTGTCGAACACAAGGAAGCATGTAGCAACGGTAGTCAGTATCCTAGTCAGCGCCATCACGACTCACGGACGTTCTAGCGGCTGAGGCTAGAATGAGGAGGAATTGGAGCAAAGGGAATGGGAGACGACAATGCAAGCGATATGGCCATGTCATTCTTATATGATCCTGACTTCTGTATCACCGCCTGAGCTGCCAGCTAAAAGCGATAGCCATTTGACGGAGTCGAGGCGTGGCTTTCGACAGCTTCGAAAAGGGCTGGAACGTATTGAGCTTGCAGAGGGGCTTCTAGCCACTGTGCCACCTTACTCTGTCGGGCTGCATAGATTTCTCACATGCAAACGATTGGCACCATAACATCGAGAAGGCCCCCTGGGCGAAAAGAGGTGCCAAGGGCCTAGGTTTGGGGGCTGAACTGTGCTTTTGGTGCTGGGTGCCTGTTTGCCTGTCAAACGTTGTCATTGCGAACTCGCCAATAATACGAGTAAGGCCGCCCAGCAAAGAGGAGGCACATGGCTGGCTGGTTCGTAAGGCGCAGTGTCTAGCCACACGCGAGCTTCGACTAGCCCTAAGCGCAAGCATCTGAAACGAGAACCATCCTCCTCTGCTGAGTATTTCTCAAGGACATGAAGACTCGGGGTTGAGGACTTGCGCCCAGAAACAGGATGGACCAACAAACAGTTCTTTGGCGAGGGTGGTAAGAAGGCATCGCAGCTGGTTAGGGATGAACGCGGTGATATTTCTCGTATTTCTCGCAGGCTTTGGACCAATCTTCCGACCCGTCGGGATTCTGCTCGCCGCAGTCTTCAGGGGTTTCAACTTGGCAACTAGCCAGGAGAAAAGATGGCTGCCTCTGGTGTGTGAAAAGGGTCAGGGGGGTTGATCAGGGTCACACGGCTGCTCCTCTGCCTGAATCCTGCGAGAGTTTTGGGACAATGTTATTCGCGATCGAAGGGACAGGGAAGACAGGACGCTCGTCAGTGGATGGTGGTGGTCTGTTGAAGCATGCTGGGAACATGGAGATAGAGATGAGAGAGCGAACAACATGAGAAGACATGTCAGTGCCTGCGGTGGTGCCAAGTCACGAGGTGAAAGCGCAGCACACAATTACGGCGTAGAAGCTACAATCCCTCTCTGCAATCATTGACTTTGTGTCTGTCCTCGTCGTCTGAGATTTGCCTATCTGCCATTGTCAATACGAATATGACGGCGGATCTAAGTGCTCCACCACCAGCTCTTATATCTGCATCATTCTCCGTCCTTGGCCGTGTCTCCCACGACGAACCGTCCCGCTAACTCCGCTGGTGCCTCTTGGTGCGACTCCCACCAATGCCTATCCACTAGGTACACACTCGTACGCAAATACGTCAAGACAACCGCAGCCTTTGGGCAAAGAGAGGCCTTGACATCGGCAATATGTCTTCGAACTTCCAAAGTTGCCATTCGATTGATGTGGCGGAAAGAGACTATTCATGCGAGGCCAACCAGGGGAGGAAAGATGGGGAGGGCACATTCCGAATAGAGACAGCCAAACAATTCATGCAAAAGAACGAATGAATGTGCAATGAAACTTGAGTATTATCCTCGAGATGCAGGATAATTGACCTGCAGATGCCTGCTATCTGTGCATTGCTAGCTTCGATATCCTCTACCCACAGTCGCCTTTCTTGAACCATTGCAGCGGTGCAAAACAAAGACAATGATCAAACCAAGACAAATCCCTCCTGCACCAGCGAGAATAGCGTAAATCACCACGCCATGTCCTTCCCAAATACCTGGGTATCGTAGCGTCATAGAGTCATGGTTCCCATCATGACGGGCGTAAATGATGATGATAGGGTGGAAAGATAGACGACAACCATACGATGTGCGAAGTGGAACACTAGCAGACAGTCGCGGCTCGTCGGTAACGGTCCCTTGAAAGCCCCAGATATTTGGCATTCCGCAATCTGTTCTCCAGGTAAACTCGCTCTGTAATTGTGAGGGTGTCAACTTCTTCAACGAATTTTAGGGGTAAAGTCGATCTCGGTTGTGACTTGAGAGGATGTGCCAGCAGGAAGTAGCAGAGGACAACCACCATGCTCAGCCCAGCAACCAGTAGTTTCTTGCCGGAGATATTGAAAGCGCAAGTCAATATTATGGCTTGACATCTCTTGCTGAGGTACTGCAAAGCAATGCTGATTTTGTTGTAATGCTCTTCAATCAAGGATATGAGGCTTTCGAGAAACACTGAAAATAGTTAGCACTTCGAAGAGGCATGGAACGGGACACATACCGTAGAGAGTCATCAGTATGTACGAATATGTTCGTGGCTTCCAGAACGACAACAGTAAAGCTGGCATGGCAAAAAGCCCCAATAATCTCAAATGAAGGTGCTCCACGATCCGGGATGGTATTGTGATGACGGCAAAAAGTGAGCTGAGAATGGCGGAAGCAGCTTCAACACGCGTCAACGCTTGATTGACTCTGTCAAGCTTGCCGGACACTCTTCCGGCCGCGGTGGTTGCAGCGTCAAGTTGAGAAGCTAGGGAAGTCGAAAAATGTTTCATTTGTTCGCCCAAAGCAAGGTTAGCCCTCTGGGCCATAGACAACTCACCGCTGAGTTGCAGATGATGCTTCACGCTCGCCAACTGGGTCGACTGTATACCAGAAATCTCGTCGAGTCCGCCCTTCAGACGATGAAGAAGTTTGGTGACATCCTGTCGCTGTTAGTCTATGACTCCCCCTGTGTAGGACTCACAAACCTGGGCTATTCCACCCGCCTGTATAGTTTCGAGCGCCTTTGTGGTGGCAAGGGCAAGCTCATGGGCAATGCTCATCTCTTGCAATTGGGCCGCGGCAGCTTCAGCATGCTGCTCACCAGTGGTTGCAATTGCTGTGTGCAACAGTTCTCGAAGTTTGACGAAATCAGCAAACACATCTCCCAGAGTCTGTAATGAGAAATCAGTGGTTCGTCCAGCACCCATGGTTGAATACGACTTACCTCCTGGGTCTGGGTCACGCCCTCCTGCGTACTAGCTATCCGTCGCTGCAGAGTCGTAAATGCGTTATGCATGCCTTCTTTTGCCAAATGCATAGTGTCGTGAAAAGTGTTAAGCTCATGTTTGTGTTGTGCCTGGCGTTCTTCTCGACTTTTCCGCTCAAGTTTGCTCACGTACGCAATCTCTTCCTGCTGCTGCTTCAGGAAACCCAGCCACTGAGATTGGGTCGAACCAAGTGCAGCACGAAGCTCGGGAAGGAGTTCTGCCAGCTTCTGGTAGGACTGAAGCGCTTCCAATCTGGAGGACTCGATAGTAGTGGCTTGACACAAAGTATTGGCATCTTGTCTGTTGTTACTATAGCTCGTCCAGTAGTAATGTTCTGTGATCAACGCTTCAAGACAGGAAGCCAGTATTTTGCTATTGACGACGTCAATCTCGTGGTCAAGCCGTTGAGGGATTTCAAGAATTGGTTTGCAAGCAGGGGGGATTGCTGCTCTTCCTTCACCCGTTTCGCATACTGCCACTCTGACTGCGTATACCGATTGAGCCCTCTCTAGTAGTTCGTGTTTCCCTTGTTGTAGACCCATGTTTGCGCCAATCGTCTTACAAGTCACAAGCAAGTGGCCTGCCGCTGCTTGATGGCAGGTCGACTGGGTGGCGAGATTGTCGACCACTCGCATAGCCTTTTCAAATACCGGGTCGTTGTCAGGTTCTCTCAATATCAACAAATCGGTGAGGCTGGATTGGAGGTCATCCTGAGCTCTTCGAAGGATAGGCCATTTTAGATCCGCTGAAGGAGTTAGGGCATGAAGATGTCCTTTGCTCTTGAAAGACTACACTGACCTTTGAGGAATTTCGCTTGGGTGTTGCCAGCAAAGGCGATGGCCACGGCAACCCAGATATAAGTAGACCAGAGTACATGAGAGCGTCCGGAGAAGAACATTGTTGCGATCATAATAGTGCGAGCCGTTATCACCGTGCGGCGAAGGAAGAAACAAAGAGAGATTGCGACCAAAGCTGAAGAGCGGCGTGCGTAAGTAGTAACGAGTGGGAAAAGAGACAGCTGTAGGGTGTCTATGGTCGAGTGAACAAGCCCACGCTTAGTAGCACGGATAATTCGATGGTATTCGTGGTTATGTGTGAAGCGAGGTGTAGTATGTAGTGTTTACTTCAAAGATCAAGACGAGATAAGACCTGGCGATCCTGTCAACGCAAGCTCACCTTCTGGAATCACGCTGTGTAGACGGTAATGATCTGATCTGGACGGCAGCTACATGCGCTGCAGACTAGAGAGTGACATGGAATCCGGTGAAAACTTGAGCAGCTGGGGATCATAAACGGGCAGTAATCTGAGTTGGTGCTCAGAGGAAGTGAGTGATCGAGAAAGGTGGTGGGAGAAGCACTGGTGAGTGTGTGCAGCGCTCCCCAAACTCACCGCCGTGGCCCTCCGCCGCGACCGCAGTCGCAGCCTGGGTGTTCATTCTCACCTCACATTGTCCCATCTGCACAGTATACAAGCAACGCTCTTGAACATTTCAATCCACGCTCTTCCATCATTTACCGAACCTGGAAAATGACAACAACTGCCTCCAATCAGACTATCACCGACCATTAATCAGCAGTCTCTTCCGCAAGCTCCTCTGTGGCTAGCGCCCCCTGCTCCCCCTCTTGCTGCCCCCAGACAGTTTGCCCCAAGCGGCACACCATTCCAATGAGCACCAGTCAAACTGCGAAGTCTCCCCCCAATAGCCCCTTGGCTAGCCTATATGAAGTCAGCTGGCCCGAAGGGCCCAAATGGCCCGTAAGTTTGGGCCATGCGACAGCAGGTTCACCCCCAAAAAAGACGGGATTGCATTGTGGGCTCTCCAGTTACAACGTGGGATGGGAATAAAAATCCGAGCTTTCGACCTCGCTTCACGCCTAATCTTGCCTTGCGAGTGACCGTCATTTTCAGGCACAAGCTTTTCAGTGGCTCGTTGCCCTTAGCATGCAGGACACCGATGAGGAGGTCTGGAGCCTGACAATGCAACTCCATTGCTGTCGTCTTTAGACCCCGCGTCCACGTTGTTTTTTGGCCCGTATTTAACCGCCGGTGTAATATGTGCACACTTTCCACAATGATCGCAGATTCAAAGAAGATTTCCTGGTCGGCCAAAAACGAGAGCTTCAAGGATGGCAGAATGGTATATTATATGGCCCCCCTCCAGCTGGAGCGAGGCATGAGATGATCCAAGCCGTCTTTTTGCAGTTCAACAACTTCCAGGGGCAGCGGAAATACCGTTCAAACAATCGAGCGGAGGAGCCTCTCAAGGTCCGATCAACGATCCCAGCCAAAGGTCCGCTCAACGCAAAGCGATTGCCAGAAGGATCAGTCGACCGATATAGGAAGGCGATGAGTCGAGGAGGGCATGTCTCTCCTATTCACCAGTCAACCTCTCAAGAGGATGCACCTCGCGGAGAGTCCGACTATACTCTCAGACCATCGCATATGAATAATCAAGCTAGGGCCAGCCCAGCACTGCGACTCATCGAGTCAGAAATCAATTCAGCTCGGTGGTCCGCCCGCACGCTGCTCAGAGTCAAGCCGGTCAATTTTCATGCCTTGCCGCTGGATGCTACAATGATGGAGGGCGACGCCAACCCCTTGGCAACCATCCAATTCTGTGAGCATCTACGATCCAGGGAGGGAGATTGTTATGCTGAACAGATTCATTCAAGTTGTCGAGCTTTACTGTCCGTCTATGCTGCGTTACCCAACGTTTAGATTGGAGAGCAGAGATTCGAAGTTCATCGGTACCAATCTTTCGGCAATGATGCAAGATCCCTTGATAACGGCAGCCGGCCTTGCATTTGCTTCTCGCATACATGACAAACGACAGAGCCGGAAAGTGGTCGGATATTACTGGAAGGCTCTTGTCCTCCTTCGAAACAGACTTGAATCCGACCCTCCCAATTCGACCGACGCTATACTGCTTAGTCTTATTTATTTGATGGCTGTTGAGGTTTGTTTCCCGATCGTGGATCACCCGGCGTTGGAGTAACTCTCTACAGGCACTCTCGGAAGACTTGGGGTCACCTCTTCAGCATCTGGGTGTGATGCATCGTATGATACAAATGCGAGGCGAGCTCAGATCTACCGGCTTACAGGGCTACATCAAGGCTCACATCAGATCGTAAGTTATCGCCTTACACGAGTAGCACATGCAATCTAACATGGTCAGCTGGGAAACATTCCTGGGAGGGGTGTATGCTGAGCCTGACCGAGATCAGGTGCCAAAGTTTCCTTACGGCCTGCTTGAATATCCTACACATCCTTTCCACCCGGAATTTAGCCTTACGTTGAGTCGCCTGCCTCTAGGCTTTGTTGAATTAGCCATGTCTTGCAGACTGAGCGTTCAAGTGGTTCAAGTTGTGCAGACAAGTGCGCAACTAATGTCTGATCTAATGCACCAGACGCAAGATCTCGAGCAAGATGACAAACTCGCACTTTCGCCATCAACATATCCAGTGTCGCCTCCTCAAGTCATGTTCCTGGCTATTGTAATCCTGCAAAACCCCCACCGGAACATGGTGGAAGAGTTGTTGGCCATTTCATTGCTGGCCCTCACTATCTCAACCGAGACTTTAGGGGAACATATAACGAATGGCTATGGATTTATTCAGACCTTTTGCATGCTGAATTGGGACGTCGATTATGGGAGAGAATGTCGCAGTACAGGGGCCCTGGGACTTGAAGACTTTCTTCTCTGGGTGAAAATGTTACTGTTGGCGACATTCGACCATGACACACAAACCTGGAAGACTGCCAACAAACTACGTCGGGACGTCCCATTTCTAGAGTTCAACCACCTACATTTTGAGGTCTGTAGGCAATTCTTCTGGACTGAGTTGCTGACTCTTTCGCTGGAGCGGAAGATGGCGCAAGACAGAGCACTATCTAAACCACGCAGCGACGACGATCCAGGCAGCTAGGAAACTCACGAGCAGCAGATCTGGAGGGGCAAGGCTGCACTGCCTCAACTAATGGCATACTTCTTCAATGGATCAAGGATGGTATATCGTTTTCTATGCTGGCCATCCAAACTTCTAGGCACCCCTGAGGGCTCCTATATCTGCCATTATAGGGAACAATGAACAGCCTCTTGACCTCTGATAGCACGTCGCGCACCTTTGCTGCCAGTAGTATAGAAAACTCTTATTGAAATCACTTCGATCAGATCAATTGATGCGACGCCCTTAGATCAACCCAGAGTGCCTGATCTGGCTGATCCGGCTAATTATGTGGCGCTTTGCAATGAGGCATGAGCTGCGCACATCAGGCAAGGAGAGACTATTGAACGGGCAGATAAACTTGATCAGGCCTGAGGATTCCAACGGCACGAATAACTAGCAATGCGTGGTTTTCTCACTGAGCTCTTGCATCAAACTTTTTCATGTGTAAAAAAGTTCACGTGCCCCACCGTAAGCCCCAGCCTCGTCAGTTCCAGCGGCGGCACAGCGAAGATGGTCCGTGCGGCGCTAGCGGTAGGGTTCGCTTAAGCGGATATTGGCTCAACCGCCCTCAATGAACTCCACCTAGCCATGTGTGGTAGCGGACCATTGCATGTGATGAGTGTACAAGGTAGTGAGGCTGCAATTGTAAAGAGCTTGGGATCGGCGGTCTCCCACTGGATTGACAACTCTCTATAAAATTTTGGCAGAGGAGCGGACGCACAAGATCAACCCTGAGGGATTTCGTGGAATATATGTGAGGCACACACCCGGCCCATCGTACTTGGACTTCTCTATACCACATCACTTGAACGCCCGACACATTGACACTTTTTTTACACGTTTTTCTTTTTTAACCATTTTAATTTTCTAGAGACCGCCAGAGGCAATGGGGTGCATGTTCTCCAAGAAACTCCGAAAGGAGATTGAGGAGGAGGACAACCTCCCACCGCTCGTTTTCGAGCCGGTGCCCTTCCGCCCTCCCGCCTGTCCTCTCCCTGACTGCAAGCCAGTCACCAAGGAGGCGAGTGAACCCGAAAAGGTCACTGCGTCCCTCGTCCTTCGCTGGCTCAAAGCGTTGGACGAGAAGGACCCAAGTCCCTCCTTGGTGCTGGAGAGGAAGGCAAGGGAGAGGCCACCGCTGCCACAGATGCGGTGTGAAAATTGGAAGAAGCTCGAGCTTGAGTCGAGCGACTCCCTCGTCTGCGAGTGCTGCGCGTAAGTGAATTTTCGTTTGGCGTCTTCTGCTCCGCCCAACTCAAAAGAATGCTGACTAACTGGCTTGGCAGAGACAAGCGTGTTGCGCCTCCGCGGATCCCAAGATACGCTTGAAGGAGCTCCTCTCCCAAGACTCGCTGGCTGCACGTCTCTTCTTCTCGGTCCTCTCCTCTCGGTTCTCTCAACCCCTGGTCACAACATTCACAGTCACACTCAAATTCATACCCTTACCATCATCATCATGGACGAAGCAAAGACTCTCATCCGGACGGCAGTGCGCACTTTCTTCCCCCACCCTAAACAGATCATCATTGTCGACGCCATCCTCATGCACTCAGTTCTACAAATGGACGACCTGAACATTCTCCTGAACTCTCAGCCCAAAGACATCCGCAGCCTACTCAACCCTCTGCGCACTGCCCGGCTTGTCCAGACACAGTCCCGCAATGAAGCCAAGATCGGCTCTACAAGACCCTCGTCCAGAGAATACTACTACTGTCCCTTCCACCCCGCAATCGACGCAATCAAATACAAGATCGCAAAACTCCGCAAGAAGGTGGAGGCGATGTATCAACAAGATGAGACCAAACGCAAAGACTGGCGCTGTCCCCGGTGCAAGGCAGAATATGAAGAACTTGACATACTTGACAAAGTCGGAGACGAAGGCTTCTACTGCGACAGATGCCATGCGACCTTGGTCCAGAACGAACAAGTCGCACTGAAAGACCGCGGCAACCACGAAAAGATCAGAAAGCTGAATGATCAGCTCAAAAAGTTTGACGACATGATCCTCAAGATCGATCGGACAGACATCCCCGAAAACGACTTCACCTCAGCATGGGACCGAAAGAAAGACGTCCCCCGACCGCAGGGAAGTGGAAAAACAGATACATCAGAACAGTACGTTCCTCTACAGAGAGGCAACAGGTACTACGACTACAAGAGAAGCGGCCCAGACATGGTCGACGTTAAAAATCTCACCGTCAACCTGACTAGTGGTGAGGAACAGGAACGTGAAGAAGCAGAAAGGAAAGAAGAGCGCAGGAAATTCCTCGCCAAACAGAATCAACTGCCAGTGTGGTATACAAGCAGTGCAATCGGGGCTACCACCAATGGAACCGCCACGGCTGCTACCACTCCAGATGACGATGACGCAGGAGGAGAAGAAGATGCGGAGGAGGAGGAAGAAGAAGACTTTGAAGATGTGGATGTCAAACCAGAACCAGTCAATGGCATCAAGAGAGAGTATGAAGTCGCCTTTGAAGGAGACTCTGAAGAAGATGAAGAGTTTGAAGATGCAGTCTGAGGACAACCTTGATCGCATCAAACCAACCAAGTCAACCAAATCAACCCAACAGAACTGCAGGTGTGACTGGAACCTGAGCTGGGTTTTGCCCTTGTCAGCAGCATGGCAAAAGCATCAACGACAAGCATTATTACACGTATTGTTATGGCGTGTGGAAAAGACCAATGTTATTGGCACAGCATTCTTACAACATTCTTGCTGGAGAGAAAGCATTCTTACAACATCGTTACTGAAGAGCAAAAGCCATTCTTACTGCATTGTTACCCAAAAGGCAAAAATGACATTATTACCAGCATCCTTACCGACACGCAAACACCATCACCACCACCACCAATCACAACATCATTATCACGGCATGGGCATTTTTATTGAGCAGGCAACCAGGAAAAGGAAAAAAGAAACACGCATATTATTATCATTGGCATTTGCATTGGGTATCATTACGGATCATGATCATGATCATGAATATGACACAAAAAGCTATTATTACGAATCAATGAATGAATGAAATGGAACAGAGCACTGGGTATCGTTGTAACGAAACAGAGGTAGACGGACAGACAGTGTATCAGTATCAGTATCAGTATCAATAATACAACAAAGTATGATCAAAACCATTTCGCTGTCGCTGCTCCAATACCTACCTCTCTAGGTATTTGGTTCTTGAACCCCCATTTCCCAATCATGATTGCTTTATGTTTTCTTCCCTTTCATTTTCTCGCCCTTTCATGCTCTACCTACCCCAGATCGGTACTTATGTAGGTGCTTAGCTTGTTTGGGTAGACACCTACACCCATACCTGGCCAGCGAGACAGGACCAGATGCATCACCTGCCCAGGAACAAGCCCAAGATCCACCCGCCGATCCACCAGACCAACAGGCCGGCGACGACGACGACGCCCGCGACCTTGAGCACGGCGACCTTGTCGCCCTGGCGCGCCATGCGGGTCAGGCGGCCCGCGCTGCCGCGGATGTTTGTGCTCATGCTGCTAAACACCTCGTTGGTGTTGTCGAGCGTGCCCTGGCTGCGCGCATTGTCGTAGATGTCGAGCGTGATGTGTTTGAGCGCCGAGGTCTTTTGGGAGAGGGACGAGAGGAGGGCGTTGTTTTGTCTGCCTCGCCGCAATCAGTATGTTGGCTTTGGTCATGGGTCTGGTGTATCGAGGGTGAGGGAATGGGGGGATGGAAGTGACCGGAGAATGGACTTACTCTTCGCGCCCGTAGGCGTCGGCCATTGCGGCGGTGGGCGGAACTTGTGACCTTTCCGGTTTCTATGTTCTTGGGATCTCTGAGTCGGTAACACAGGCAGCCTCGCGAGCCGGATTCCCCTTGCTGGGACTAGGGCCTTGAAGCCGTATCGAAGGCTAGATATGATACCGCTCGCCCTCGACCCTGCGCGGTTTCGCAGACACACAGGCGGGGGAATGGATCCTCTAGTCTCGGCCCCCGTTTGTTCTCGTCCTTCTTCCTCGTCTCTTTCTCCGAAGACTTTGTCCTCTTCACTTTCGCGCCGTCAGTTCCGTGCCTTTCCAAAGTCTCGGTGGCTGTGATTACGGCGGCCGGAAGATCGGGGCGGGAAAGGAGTGCGGCGGATGCCTTTGGGAAACGCAGTCAACTCCGTCGAGTCGAGTGCGCGTGTGAGTCTCTGCTGCGGGGGCTAGGAGGGAGAGAGAGAGAGATGGGAGTTGTGATGTCAGTGAGTTTGTATCAAGATTAAGTTCTTCTGCGAAGAATGGAGAGGTGTAAGAGGCACCTATTTGGTGACACTTTTGGTTGCGGAAACGTGCCGCCTCGCCTCGCCTCGCCTTGCCTCTGGCTCTGGCGCAGGAACGGCGGTAACGGGGTGCCAGGACCCACGCGGACTCATTGTTACTGAGACGTCTAAGGCACCATATAATACTGCGTGACTGGCAATGAATGGTCGGGGGTAAACCTTACATACAAGTAGGGTACAATCAATACCTAGGTAATTCTCGGTGTCTTGAAGCATGCCTCAGCCTTGCATCTATAACACTTTTGAACGAGGACTGGAATCATAATTGGTCATCTTGCTCGGGACAGAGTCTCAGATACTCGGTATTCGCGCCATCTCAACGACCCTCTCTATATATCACTCATCTCTCGTTAAAAATGCAGCGCACACGACACTGTGCGGTATCTATCCGGGTTTGAGCAAAGTTTGGTGCATTCCTCCATCTATGTACAATTTTCTAAGTGGAGGACCATTCCTATCCTCCTCTCCCCTTCCTTATCCCATCTGATAAGTCAGGACCAGGTCCTAGCAAATGTCATGTCGAGTTTGATGTGTCAAAATATTGTAATGTCATTTCGAGATATGTGATCATACCGCTCCTCAAGTTGAAAATATTCCTTCACAAATACGCATCCTTCCTGCCATCCGCTATGCTAGAAATCGACGAGAGAAAACCCTCCAAAAGATATTGGGAGAGCAACGGGCCAAAGTGTTCAGCAGTATATCTTGTCCAATATCAAAGCGGCGATACTGCCAGTTGGCTTCAAGAACAAGTAGGGACGCCTTCTCTCCGACCTCGCCGAATATTACCACATATCGTCGTCATCATCGTCCAGCTGGGACCCGCCGTGGCGTGAGGCCCCCTGTTGTACGTGCTCTTGTAGTTGATTGTTGTTATGGTACTGATTATATGCACCGGCACCACCGCCATATGCCGAACCATTACCCTCGACCGTGTGCTTGCTTCCCCTCGAACTTGGCCTCGAGCTGCCAGCGTCGTAATCATAGCCAGACGAATCACCCGCAAAATCTTGTTGAGAACCATATGACTGCTCTCCTTGGTACGATTGAGGTTGTTGCTGCTGCTGTTGCTGGGCTTGTTGCTGCAAAGAAATTAGCACGAGGACCTCCATACTGCCTAACCTGAAGGACTCACTTGTTGATATCGCTGGTATTGGACATATTCGTCCGGCTGCTGCTGTTGGTCTTTCTGCTGTTGTTTCCGTTGCTGTTTGGCACTCGTGGGTAGGTTCATTTGTGGGTGCATCTGCTGGACCTTGGCCAAATAACTGTACATGAAATTACTGAGGAGCACCTGCGAGTACAGGGCTCGACGAGGATTGGCCAATTTGATATGTGCCATACGATAGATGGCCCTTTCTTCCAAAATCGAGAACCTGGTCCAATTATAGTCGATGTCGGGTTTCAATTCTCGGTACGGCGGCTCCGGCGACAGACCTCGGTCGCGGTGTTTCTTTGAGCTGCTTTCCTTGTCTCCCTTGCTCCTCTTGCCGCCGAATATCGAGGAGAAAAGGCCTTCTTTTTCCTTCTTGTCACTCCCTGACGCTTTCCGTTGGCTTTCTTTTCGGCGTTCTTCATCAAGCTTGAGGTGTTCCCGATCTAGCACCAGACTTTCACGCCCTCGAACACCTCCATCAATGGATGTTTGGAGCAGATCAAGTCGTGTATTGTCGTGTTGTTGTGGAGGTTTGGAGATTTTGGCCTTCGGTTTCTCGGATTTGTCTTTGTCTCCGTCTTCTTTTCCCAGCAACCAACTCCAGCTTGACTTCTTGGTCTCTTCCTTCTTTTTGGAGTCGGCTCTCTTATCCACACTGAGGGTCGGGATAAACGAGAGATTGCTAGTATTTGTGTCATTTCCAGGCAGAGGTGATGGCTGTTCGAGACTTTGGGAGGGTTTTGTTTGTGGTAATATCTGATTTGCTGGGGACGGCGTTCGGGGTGTAATGGTCGGTAAAGACCCCCTGGACGGCATCGATGGTCTTTGCGGGGAAATGGTTCTTGTTCGGCTATCGTCCCGAGAAGACACCCTCTCAGGATGTCGCACTGGCTGTTGCACGGGTGGGGGTGTCATCGAAGAGGACCGCGGGGGCTGGATAGACACCTGCGGTGCTTCAGGGGGAGGCGGAGTCTCAACAATTTGTGGCACGGGCTTTCGCTCGAAAGAAACGCCCGTCGACGGAGGTGATTTTGGAGGGGGTGGTGATTTTCGCGACTCAGGTATGCCTGCCGCTGTCGGTCTTTTCGTTTCGTCGTCATTGCTGAACCTATGATCAAACGTTGTTGGTCCAGAAGACCCGCCACTAGAGGACGAGGTTGCTGGCCGAGAGAAGTTTGTCGGAGCAGTCCTTCCGGCATTTGCTGTGCTAGATACGTCCTTCAAGGTCTGCGCAAGGCTGGGAGCCTCGATGGATATATGTGGCAATGGAGGAACCGCAGGGATGCTGGATTCGGGCGACTCAGGTCTGCTGCTTGAAGGGCTCCCAGCCGCTGCCCTTTTCGCGGCTCGTTGAGCGTACGTGCCTCGATCTCCCCTCCCTTTGACACTTCCACCTCGTCGGTAGGTTGTTCTTGTCGACCTTTTGAGACTATTGCCCGGGACTGATGGTAGTATTATATCCGGGGTATCGTCTTCTGATGAAGGATCTAGACTTGGCCTCGACAAGCCGGGGGTGTTTGCAACCAAAGTCTCCAACTCTTGCAGGTTTGGGTCCAGAGGCGCCGTCCGGCGTGACTGTGATTTTTTCCTCTCTAATCGTTCCGCACCATCTTGGTACCCCACAGAACTATCGATCTGGCGTGATAGCATCGATTTCTTTCTGCGCAAGCCAGAATTACCTCCTTCGGCACTTAACGAGGAAGATCGAGACGAGGTTGGTGTTGTAAAAGCGGACAGTTCGCCCGATCTCCTTCTGATTTGCTCTGCTTTGCTTTCCAAAAAGGTCTTGAATTCCTTCGGCGCAAGTTCTGGATGTAATCGAGCCGGAACCCAGAATAATCGAGAGGAGTCGTCTTCACTCGAGGTAGGTGACGGGGCACTCGGCATGCCGGCCGCATTCAGTTGGGGCAGGTCTGGGTCGTCCGTTGCACCCACATGCATTGACATACGTCTCAGGGCTTGCAAATTGCTCAGCTCTTGCGCCAGACCTGCCGGACTAGACTCGTAGTCAATATCATTTAGTGGGAATGGAGAGGTGGCGGTATCCGAGGACGAGCGCTCTCTTGAGCCCGAGGCCGACGATGATGTGCGACTATGGTGTTCCCAGGAATGAACTTGACCAGGGGATCCTCTGGAAACACCATTCGACTGTGCGACAGCATGGTCGTCTGACATATCTCGGTAGGGCAACTGTTTTCTGGATACAGACGGCGTCCTCCTCGGGGTCACCACACCCTCCACTTGGTGGCCATTGATTTTGACTTCTGATTGTGAATCCGCATTCTGATATGGGTTTGAATAGGAAGGGTGCTGCTGCTCTTGCTCGGAATCGTCATCGTAGAGGTATCCGATGGTTTCAGTAACGTGGTGGTTCTCATCGCTTATCGACAATCGGGGCAGGTGCCCTCTTTGGCGGGCGGCGAAGCTCGCGCCTGTGTCTCGACTGCGGGTTGAGGTCTGTAAGAGTCAACCATGTCAGTTGGTTCTGTTATAGTACCAGAGAATGTATCGGATCCTCCTCGCTGGACCCTTGGCCCCAAGATCTTGCCGTCGCCCATCTTTTATACAAAGGAAGCAATTCAACGAACCTGCATGGAGCGGACCGGCTGCGGCTATAGATATCCAGGACTGAAGTTATCCTGTATCAGGAGCGCGTGCAAACACAGACTACAGCCTTCCCTCCTAACCCGCCTCCTGCGCGCAGTGGCCGACAGGTTGGTGCTGCGGAGGAGACTCCTTTAATCATCGGAGTGAAGCAGGCAGGGTTCGGAGCGGATAGAACGGCCGAAGAGAGTGGTTCACCGTTGGGCACAAGTTGGAGGTAACTGGGCGTTATCGAAAAGCGATTGTGGTAGTGGTGGACCAAGTTGCAACAATTGAGATCATGGGGGATGATCAACGCGGGAAGGAGAGGTGCTCGGCGTGTTTGCGGCGGCTTGTACCCAGGCACCCAGGCACGTAGCCCTCTGTCGGGGGGTCCAAAGACAAGGCTCAGAAGATCCGGATGTGCAGGCGGGCGCTGACAGGACGAGACAAGTGTGTGGTGGTCTGGTTACTCAAAAGGAACTGTCAGTTGGGCTGCTAAAGGCTGCTAAATGTAGAGTCGTGGGTTGGTGATGTGCAGGCAAGGCAAGGCAAGGCAGGACAAGACACAGGGAGGATGGGGGGATCATCGCAGGCAAGTAGCCGCGCTCTTGTCATCCAATGGTGGAATTGCTACCCCGTATCCCTGTCAAATCGCCAGGGATCGCCTAGACGTACCAGGACGTGCTTGGACGTGCCCATATTATTTTGTGCTGTGCCCTGATCAGTGGCGCAGGTGGGCCTCGACTACTCCTTTATCATTCGTCTGCTCTCTATCCCTCCCCTTCCGCCAATCCACCCATCGGACAAATGTCACACTTGTCGCTGCTCCTGACTTGGCGGAAGGTTTATCTACATTCCGTCATAAGGAGGTCCGGGTCTTGACAATCTGTATAGTGCCTAGATAACATGGGAATTTGTTTTTTCGGGTCCTTTGCCAGCCCCATATTCGTCGAGGGCATTCCTCTAGTCGTCCCCATATCTCATAACTATTCGTCTCGTACCTCAGCAGAGGCCGACAGTCCTCATTGAATCCTGATCAACCCCATGGATTGTCAAAAGGGTCCGATGCGCCTCCAAATCCCCCGTTCCCTTTGGCTTGCGGAGCTACTGGTGTCTGCGTCGTAGAAGCTGAGGTCCACCCCCCAAAGTCCTCGTCGGCTGTGACAGAAGCCTGTCGCACTGGTTTGTTGCTCGACGATATCGGCTCTCCCCACCCTCCATGGATATCATTGGGCGTAATGTGTGCAGGTGGCTTCCCCAACTCGACCTTGGGCTGGGCTGGCTTCGCAGGGGTTGCTTCGGGCGCCGCCCAAGGACTGCTATCATTGCCTGAAGCCCATGGGTCAAACAGTGACGAACTGGTTTGAGCTACGGCTGGTGCTTTGAACGGTTGAGGAGCCGGCTTTGGCGTTGGATCAGGCTGTGAAGATAGATTGAAAGGAGAACTAAACGTCGAGCTCGGATTGATAGGTGACGACACTTGCGGGGCAGGAGCGGGAGCGGGAGCAGGTTTGGGTGGTGAAACAGGTGTCGAGCTGGCAAAGCCTCCAAAATCATCAGCCGCAAACAAATCAACAGGGATAGACGTAGCTGATGGTTTGGGTGCAGCGGCAGCCATAGGTTGTGGAGGTGGGGATCTTTGGGTAAAGGAGAAATCTAGTCCATTCGAGGCCGATGGCGAGGTGACAGTGGCTTTGGCAGCGGGTGCGTTGGAGGGAAGCGCATCGAAGAAACTGCCACCACTCAGGGGAGGCGGCGATGTCACCTGCGGGGCGGATGGCGTGGCTTTCGGCGCTGCAACAGGGCTGGTCAGACTTCCAAACGCCGAAAATGCAGAGGCTGGCTGCGGCGCGGGAGGTCTTGTGGTGGTTGGATTAGGGAAGCTCAATCCGCTAAAGGCATCGGCAAGACCTCCGAACGCATCTTGCTTCGCTGGTGCGGGTGATGTGGCCAGTCCACCAAATGACGGCTGACGGTCATGCTGGGGTTGAGGTGCTGGTTGAGGTTTAGGTGCAGCAGAATATAACGAGAGGATTGAGCTCTTCAGGTCTCCTCTACTGTTTGTAGAAGCCGAAGGATTGGATGCTGCACTCGAAGGTCGACCAATGCCACTGGAGGATGAGCCTCCAAAGAAGTCTAGCCCAAGCAAAGAGTCTTGTGGCTTCGCAGCGGGCTTTGGAGCCGGAGCAGGCGCTGCTGGGCCAGTTCGCGTGGGTTTCGAGTCAGGAATGTCCGCTGTATTGGGCCTGACGGGGGGAGCTGGAGCGAAGTCGTCGAACAGATTCACATTTGCAGTCGGCCGAGGCTGCGGAGGCGGAGTTGGTTGAGTGGACGCTTGACGCTGCGAAGCCGACCTCTCAATTTTGGCCTTCTCTTGCACGATATTCAATGGCATATTATCGTCACCTTCGGCGTCTAGCGTTGAGGGATCAGGCATGGGCCCGTCCATGACCCATCTCTTGGATTCGTACTTTGTACGTATGAAGTTCTCAATCTTCGCCTCGGACGGCACGTGCCCTGGTGCCAACTTGGCCTCCCAGTATTTGTTTGCTCTTGAGTTGCCCCATTTCAAGACACTTTGCAGTTGTTCGTCTGTCCAGGCATCCAGATCAACCGACTTGACTCGGCTGATGTGAGTGCCCATCCCTCGATGAATTCCTGAGCATCGAATGCAAATGAACACCCCAAGATTCCAGCTCGCCCATCGTGGATGCTTGTTTCTTTTGCAGTCAGCGCAGACTTTGTTTCCTTCCAGTTTGACTAGAGCTTTGAGGGTCTGGGCATTTTGGGCCGCTCTGTCATTGCCGGGCCGTCGAGACATTGAGGTTCAGTGGTCGTGACAACGTGTTTGAGGGGCGAAACTCGAGTGCACGGTTATCGAGGCGCACGAGGGCAATGTCTGATGGAATGAGGGCCTCCCGAGGGTGTGAGTGCAGAGTCAAGACACCTGCTGGTTCACGTCAGGGAATGGGATCGTTCGGCCAGGGTGTTCCGCAATGACGGATAAGATCCCAAGTGGTTGTTTGCCCGCCGAGTTGGAATGACAGAATTGCAATGTCAGCGCCTGCCCCAGTTTCCCAGACTAGTGGGATACGCCGCTTTATTTGGAGATGCCCAGTCCGCACGTGAACACGCGTCAATATCGAACGACCTGTCCTGCCGCTTTTCCTTTCAATTCTCTGCTTCTATCATATTCCTCTCACCTATGATATGGTCTTGTCTTGTCTCAAGCCGACTCGATCTGACCGAGGCTATGGGCTAATGCGTAGATTTAAAAATGATTCTGGCCACCCCTCTCACGCCGGACGGTTCTGCAAAAACCCTCACTCGGACGGTCAGCCCTCTCCAACCAACTCCAACTTGATTCAGACGCTCCCATTGACACAGTGGAATCTCTGTTGCTTCGTCCATCTTTGCTCAGAGATATCTGAAAGACGTAGCGCGTATCCCTGGGTAGTCAGTCTGACAGGTCCCCCCTATTCCCTTACCTAGGTATATGGCCCCCTCTGAAAATGCCACCATTTCCCCTTAATTGAGTTCGCCAGGCGTTACGCAAACCAATAGCCTTTTTTTTCCCGCGACAGCTCTCTCGTAGGAGAAAAGAAACAGGAGCAAGCATCTATGTATATCGTAAGTAGCGGCACTTGGATGCTCACTCTGCCAGTATATGAATTTGTTACGCGGTGGGAGATGGAATCCCCGATGCTTATGCTTATGCTTCTTGAGTAACGGATGCGTGCGTAGTCAAATACATTATGTATCGAACAAGGGGTCACCATGGCATGGCGTAACCCGAAACATGGTAGGTTCTCGTATTTCTGCTTCGCCCTGTCGTTCTCAAAGAAAACCCTTTGTCCAAATAACAAAGAGGAGTGTTCTTTGAGACGGATGCTTATACTACACACAGTATACGTGACCATCAAAGCCCCAGCCTAGCATCCTTCCTTTGTTGGATGAACTATTCGAACACAGCATACAGCATACCGCATACTTAGTGCCCACCGCCCAGCACAGTCCCCGAATTATCCCGGCACGAGAATGCACCGCCTATCATGCAATGTTAGCACAAATATAGACTACTGAGTAAGAAACGAACGGGGGCCAACTCACCGACGGTACCGTTCCTATACGCGTCGAGGATACTCTGTATGCTGCCGTAGGTGCCGCCGACACAGATGAAGGCGCCCAGCAGCATCAGCAGGATGTGGGCGGCGTAAATGGCCTTTTGCACGACGGAGCCGCTGCGGTAGTGTGGGTGGTCGTACATCCAGATCCAGGCGGGGACCATGAGCGCGAGGGGCGCGAAGCAGAAGCTCCCCGTGATGGCGACGAGGTAGTTGAACACGGGGATGGCCTGGGCCAGGATGAAGGCGATGGCCGCGAGCCCGAACGTGCAGCCCAGCCAGGTGCCCCAGTGCACGAGCGAGTTGGACTGCAGGTGCTTGGATCGGCGCAGGAGACGCACAAACAGGTATTTCGCCGCCACGTGGTTGTAGAAGGCGCCCGACACGATCAGCCCGATGAGGCCGATGCCGTAGCAGACTTTCTTGATCGTCGGGCCCGCGGAGCCCAGCGCCGGTGCCGTGATCCAGTGGCCGCACCAGGCATAGATGACCGAGGCGAACGTGATGTAAGATGCAGACACAAAGGCCATGCACACGTAGAGGGCCTTGTTGAAGTCTTGCGGGCGGCGCATCTCCGCGATGACGGGGATGAAGGCTGACGTGCCGGCCGAGGAGACGAAGATGGTGGTCGTGGCGACCATGCCGCCGTGAAACGAAGTGGAGCTGATGGCGTGGTATCCGAGGTCTGGGATTGAGGGACATGTTAGCATTTTCCAGCAAGAAACAAAAACAGGATCGAGGCCGTGAATGCGACTCACCGTACACCCCAGTTTTGGGGGCTGCAGCTGGACGGTCGACCTGGGTGACGGCAACGACCAGGATGAAGACGGCTACATAGATGGAAATGAAGCCCGCCCAGCCGACCCAGCCCAGATTTTGAAAGGTGCGGATCGAGGCCGACATGGCGACGATGATCATGGAAACGAAGGAGAACCAGACGGTGCAGGCACCGTGGTCGGAGAGGGCGTTGAACGCGACGCTCGTGCCGTTGATGCCGGCGCCGGCACACAGGACCCATGCGATGATGTAGAGCCCGCCGATGAGCTCCTTCACGATAGGGCCGGCCATGACTCCCACCATGTCGGCGACGGAGTGGCAACTCGGGTGCTTGTTTCTGAAATCGCCCTGGATCTTGCCGACGTAGCAGTTCAGCATGCCGAAACCGAGCAGGACCAGAGCACCACCGACGGCGCCGATCTCGTACATGGCTGCCGGGATGCTCAGGACGCCGGTGGCGAAGAGGATCTTCAGGAAGAGAATGGCTGCGCGTGGCCAGGTGACGGTTCGAAAGTCGACGCCATCCTCGGTGATCTTGAAGACTTCTTGTTGCTCCGCGGGGTCCTTGACGATTTCCTCGCTGTCACGGCTAGGAATGGTATGGATCTTTTCCGGGTCCTGTTTGGTGTCCTGCTGTGTGGTGTCCATGGCTGCACTGGGGGGAAGTATTTTTTTGGGCAGGACGTCAAGAGGGATGGGGTGTTAAGAACGACAAACCGGGATCCCGGTGATATGGTTCCTAGACGCTGTATTTATACAGGTAGGCAGAGAGGAGGTATGATAAGACCCATGAGTTCTGGATATGCGCGGCGCGACGGTCGAGGCATGGAGAGAACGCTTGACCAGCACCCCCGCCAAAACTGGTTGATAATGCACGGAGAGTCGCCTGTGTCAGAGTGGAGATAAAATGGATCTTTCCAAATATGGGGATTTCCTAATCTGGTAATATCCGATACGCTTGGCTGATACGGTCGCTGTTTAGCGCCAGGTCTATCTATGTACATCGTCAAAAGACTCGTGCGGGCCGGCTGACTGACAAAAAGGGCGCCTTCATGCTGATCCGATGGTTTATGCACTTCATCTGCCGGAGATACTCGAGCGCGTGCACGCGACATTAAAAGCAGGGGGGAGTGGTCTAGAACTCTTTCCAGGCGTTTGGACCCCCCGCCGCCGTTTCCCACGCGTATGCTACTCGGAGCACGGTCAACTCGTCCCACCATTTGCCAACAATCTGCATGCTAACGGGCAGTTTGGTTGGAGTCCCCGCAAGGGGTCCCTCGGTAGGCTCAAGCATCCCCACAGGCATGGCCAGTGCAGGGTGGCCGGTCTGGTTAAAAGGAGCTGTATTTCCGGTCAGACCGACTTGTTTCTGTAGCTGCAACAATGGGTTGCCTGTTGCACCTGATTTGCCCAGCTCAGGGTGTGATTTGGCCACGAATGGCAATGTTGGTGAGATCAAGACGTCGTATGTCTTCTGCTGCTTCATCTCTTCGAGTTGGGAGTCCGTAACAAATGTCGATATTGCCGACCAGTCCCCGAGTGCTGCATCGTAGCCATGACGCGCCTTGAGTGAGAGATTTGTTGCTTTCCCAAACAAGCCCGGGAATTTCTGCATGTCCTGAGCATAGACGCCGTTCAGGTAGATGTTTTTGGTCGACGGGATGGCGTTGTCCCATTTGTCCTGAGTCATCGGCCAGAGCTTCTGATTGAGATCGTTGAGTTGATAGCCTCTGCGGCCTCCCAGCGCCAGTGTCTTGTTCACATAGCCTCCCAGCTTCGAGATGCCAGTCCAAACCGCACTGGCCGTCGTGTGTGCAGGGACGGACACTTCTTCCACTTCTGCACCGAGGCTTCGAAACTTGTCGGCCGCAGCGAGGAACAACTCCTTAACCCTAGGATCGAGCATAGGGGTGCGGAGACCCTCGGCCAGAATACCGATCTTCATACCTGTTAGGTCTTGAGGCTTTTGCTGTCCGAGGAGAATCTCATGATAGGCTGGAATCTTGTCCGGTGCCGGAGCACCGTATGACCGATCATCCACAAAGTCTGTCCCTGCTATAGCCTTCAGCAGCCGGGCATTGCTGAGGACGTCTCGTGTCATCGGTCCCATATGGTCATTTGTAGGCTCGTTACTGCCGGCGCCGGTCCAGGGGATGAGACCAAAAGTCGGCTTGAATCCGACAATGCCGCACCACGCCGCAGGGACCCTAATGCTCCCGCCTTGATCTGCCCCTATTGCGTAGTCCACGCCTCCGTTCTCCGGGCCAAGAGAGACCAAGACCGCCGAGCCGGACGAGGAACCTCCAGAAGCATATCCCTTTGCGTAGGGATTATGCACGAGTCCCGTCGATGCTGTATGTGATGTCGCCGAATGACACAGGTTTTCACAAACTGACTTGCCCAAGATGGTCGCGCCTTGTTTCAACATGCGAGTGACAATAGCGGCATCAGTGCCCGGAGTATAGCCTGAAAAGAAGTTGGTGCCAAGCAGCATTGGAACGCCCTCGACCGCAATGCAGTCCTTCAGGGCCACCGTCTTGCCATGAAGGAGTGCCTTTGGATTGGGATTTTTGTCGGAGATCTCACACCTCCAAGCCCACGCTCCATAGGGGTTATCCGCGGGCTCAGGAAAATGGACATTCCTCCTTTCAAACCTCTCATGATCAACTTGTGGGACGTAGTCTAGAATTATTGTCAAGTCAGCTAGCTGCAGTGATTTTCGTGGACATACCATCAATGTACCTTCAAGTGCCATCAACTTTGCCATCGAATCGTGGTATACGGCCAAGAGATTGACATACTCTGCCTTTTCCTCATCTTTGATGGAGACTCCGAGGATTTCGCATGCCCGATCAAGGTCGTCCGTGGTCACCGGATTATCCTTGGACACATCGAGTGAAAAAACCGACATTGTAGTGGCTCACAAGTTGTGTGTCGTGGTTTGAAGCCACTTTGATAGCCACGATACTGGTGCCGGCTTTGTGGCTGTATCTTACAGATAAAGGCCTGCCAGGATCATGAACCTTCTTATTGTGAGGCGATGATAAGACGGATTTGGAGATGCATGCTGCAAGGGCAAAAGAGCCAGTATCGGGATGGATGTGTGGGGTGGCTCAACGGAGATTGCCATGTCTGGTTTCGCCGCCCATACCGAACCCGATACTTCATTACGGTGGCAATGCATGGATCCCATTTTGATCCCGTGCGCTTTTTAAGAATCTCACCCTTGGAGATAAGGCGGCTGAATTGGCATATCCAGCTCAGGATCACTGGCGAGCATTATATCGAAATCTTCAAGCCACCAGCATCATGGTCAACCTCGATCCCAAATACGACATACCGAGAGACTTGGAGGGTAAGTCGCGCAGCCAAGGGTTATGAGATATAACATGGGTCTCTGATTTCTGTGGTCAGGCTACGGCGAGGAATCATTCGATCCTCAGTGGCCAAATGGAGCCCGCATCGCCGTGTCATTTGTCCTGAATTATGAGTAGGTGGGAAATCTGTTGCACGGGACTCATGCTCAGAGCTGCAGAGAGGGAGCGGAGCGCACCTATCACAACGGCGATGGCCATTCCGAGCCATATCTCTGGGAGAAAGGAGCATCGGGTGGCTTCAAGGAAGGCGCTCCCTACGTCAACGCGGAATCCGAGTATGAATACGGGAGTCGTGTTGGCGCCTGGCGGCTTTTGCGTCTCTTTAAGGAGTTTGGCTACCAGTGGACGACATACGCCGTTGCTCAAGCAATGCAGCTTAACCCGACCTTTGCAAAGGCTTGTGTGAGGGATGGCCACGAGATTGCAACGCACGGCCTTCGTTGGCTCGATATATGGGACTACGATCTCCAGAAGGAGAAGGACTATATTGTTCAGAGCTTGAAGGCTCTCAAAGATGTGTCTGGGGAGATGCCCGTCGGTGCCTATTACGGACGGGGAACCCCCAATACTAAAGCACTCTTCCCAGAGGTATTCAAGGAGGCTGGCAGCGAGATGCTCTGGAACTCGGAGGCATACAATGATGACGTTCCATATTGGGTCGATCTACCCGCAGAGAAAGATCTTCCGGACGAGCAGAAGAAGGGGATGCTCATTCTCCCCTACAATTATGATTGCAATGGTAAGTCCCCCTCAATATAACCGTGAACGAGCAGAAGACAGTGCTGACGGTCGGCAGATGGAAAGTTTCACATGAGTCCAGGTAAGATTTTCTCAGGACATTGAATCAGCACAGCTGACCTTCCCAACAGGCTTCGTGGGGAGCGACATGTATGAGAAGTATTTGAAGGCCACATTCGACATGCTATATCGCGAAGGGGGTAAGATGATGAACATACCGATGCACAGCCGCATAGTTGGCAAGCCCGGCCGTTCGGAGGCTTTGCGGAACTTTATGAAATACATCCAGGAGCACGAAGGCGTCTGGGTAGCGACAAGACGCGACATTGCGAAGCATTTTAGGGCAAAGTTTCCCTACAGGCCAGGACATCGAGCATGACCATACGCTATAGGGAACGAGAGGCAGACAGTGGGGCAGTGTGGAGGTTTTGTAATGACCAAGCCAGGTCTAGGCACGTATATTACCGTATTAGGTAATATCTAGGTAGGTATTACTAGGTAGCTAGATGCAGCCGCCGAGTTTTGAGAGGAACGAGGCTCGTCAAACGTCTGTCATCTCACAAGGAATATATCAACCAAGTGAGTTCCTACAAGGTCACTTTAGTCTCGTTGTGCTAGTCCCCTCAGATCATGGCCGCCGCCGCTCCTGCTCCTCCGGTTCCCCCAGTTGCGGCGACAGCCCCTGCAGATGCTGTTGTGAGCCCCGAAAATACAGCAGTTTGGACCGACACCAGAGAGCCACCGAGTCTCGACTCGCAGGACCGTGCCAACTCGGCCCTTTTCACGCCGCTTGCCATTGCCAATGGCCGGATCCAACTCTCCCATCGAGTTGTTATGGCGCCAATGACGCGCAATCGGGGGGTTCCTTTATATGTCGGCAAACCCAACCGTGCCTGGGGTCACGATGAGCTTGGTGCTACCTACTACGCCCAACGAACGACCCCCGGAGGCCTCATCATCTCAGAAGGCATCTATCCCACGGTTGAAGCGTCAGCCTCACCCTGTGCGCCGGGATTGTTTCTCCCCGAACAGGTCGCCGGCTGGAAAGCGGTCGTCGACGCCGTGCATGACAAGGGTGGCTACATCTACGCTCAACTCTGGCACGCAGGAAGGTCGTGCTTGCCTCATTTCACCGGCGTGCCCGCAGTGTGCCCCAGTGCTACGCCATTCGAGGGGAATCACAAGTCGCGTTACGCCCCTCCTGACGATGACAGCGGCGCACCAGGTGGTGGAGAAGGCATCACAATGAGCGATCATCCGCCAAAGGAGATGACTCACGAAGACATCAAGCGAACTATAGGGGCTTACGTCGACACAGCCAAACGTGCCGTGTTTGAATGTGGATTTGACGGCATCGAGGTCCATGGGGGCAATGGATATCTGGTCGAGCAGTTCCTCAGCACCAACATCAACAAGCGGACAGATGAATACGGCGGCACCGTTGCTGGGTATTGCCGATTCCCCCTGGAACTCATGGAGGGTTTGGCGGAAGCAGTTGGAGGAGACAATGTTGCTCTCCGTTTGTCGCCCTTTGGTCTCTTCCTACAGTCATATGGCGAGCAGAGAATGGAAATCTGGTCTCATCTATGCCAACAGCTCAAGCAGAGGATACCAACCATGTCGTACATCCATTTCATCGAGCCACGATTCGAGCAGATCATCGACCCGGCCACCAAAGACACATATCTGAAATCCCTCGGAGACAACATCAGCCTCGAGCCTTTCCGCAAAATCATGGGATCGACCCCATTCTTCGTCTCAGGCGGTTACAACGACACGAATGTCTGGGGAGTGATCGAATCTGGCTCAGCCGATGCGATCAGTATCGGCCGCTACTTTACCTCGAATCCTGATCTCGTGTCTCGCCTGAGACGCGGCAAGGCGCTTACCAAGTACGAACGGGACCGATTCTATTGGGTGCCTTTTGACGAACGAGCTCGTGGATATACAGACTATTCGCCTTGCGAGGAATGATGGCCCGTCATTACAAGCTTCGTACTTGGGGCGAACTGCCGTGCCATACGTAGTGCAGCCTCCAACGGGGAACTCCAACTGGAGCGCCACGAGAAACGTGGTCCGTGCCGTAACAGGAAATCACCGAGCTTCTCTCCGGTTATCTAGAACCATGTGGAGGGCGGAGAAGTCCAGACATGCTTGTTACCAGTATTGGGGATGTCAGATTGACAAATGCCACGAATCCACAAACGTTTATCGTGGTGAGCCACCTCGGGGAAGCAATAGTTCCTGCGAGGACGTTATCAGGTAGCCAGATAGCCGGGTATCCGAGGTCGTCCACCGCGGGGCTTGTTAATCAGAACAAGTGACAAACAATGATATGAAATCCGGGCCGCCGCTTGAAGTCATTTCAGATACAAAAGGGAAATACCACAAAGGGGAAATACCGCAAGTACGAGGGACAGGCCAAGACCAAGACCCAGAACCACACCAGCCGGTTTGTGAGTGTTTGAGGAGTTGACTAGACCAGTCCCAAGAACATACAGTACCCTATCTATTCCGCGTACTCTCTCTCCCCTTTCACCCCCTCATCTTAGCACTTGATACAGTCACCATCCACCACCACCACCATCACCGTCGTCAACAACGAGAACAATAACAACCATAATAACATCGCCACCACCATGCCCGACGTAGCACCCTACACATGGGACGCCCATCACGACTTCCCGCGCGACCTGGTGGGCTACGGGCCCAACCCCCCCGCGGCACCGTGGCCCAATAAGGCCAAACTGGCGCTCTCGTTCGTCATCAACTACGAGGAAGGCGGGGAGAACTGCGTGCTCAACGGCGACCCGACGTCCGAGGCCGCGCTGTGGGAGTCGGCGGGGCGGTACGCGCCGCGGCAGCAGCAGCGCGCGGTCAACGTCGAGAGCGACTACGAGTACGGGTCGCGCGTGGGCGTGTGGCGCATCATGTCGCTGTTTGAGCGCTTCCGGTTCAAGTGGACGCTGTACGCGGTGGGCAAGGCCGTCGAGGCCAACCCGGAGGTCGCGAGGCGGACGGTACGGAGCGGCTCAGAGGTCGCCAGCCACTGTTACCGTTGGGTCAATTACGAGGACATGCCCGCCGAGCAGGAAAAGGACATGATCCGCAAAGGCCTCGAGAGCCTCAAGGCCGTCACCGGTGAGTATCCCGTCGGCTGGTACTACGGGCGGCTGTCGAGCCGGAGCCGCGCGCTGGTCTGGGACGTCTACGACGAGATGAAACTGCCCCTGCTGTGGCAGAGTGACAGCTATGGCGACGATATCCCCTACTGGGTTGATGTGCCCGCGGAGCAGGCCATGGTGGCCGAAGGGAAGCGCACCAAGAAAGACTGTGTCGGCATGCTGATGGTGCCGTACTCGTACGACGTCAACGACTTCAAGTTCCACACGCCGACGGGCTTTGGCGGGCCGGGAGATTTCTTCACGTACCTGAAGAACGCCTTTGACGTGCTGTACGAGGAGGGCGAGCAGGGGACCCCCAAGATGATGACTGTCGGCCTGCACTGCAGAATCGTCGGCAAGCCCGGCCGGTTTGCCGAGTTGAAGCGGTTTTGCGAGTATGTCGCCTCGAAACAGGACGTGTGGGTGTGTACCCGCGGGGAGATTGCACAGTGTTGGCGGGAAAACAGGCCATATGAGGTCGGAAAGCTGTAGAACGGAAAAGAGTTTTGCCATGTAACGAAGAAAATAAATATGGCTCGGATACGCCTTTTGCTTGCCCTCCAAGTCCAGTCCAATGTTTTGCAATGTCGTAGGCCATACGAGGGGCGGCCAGAAGGGGAGAGAGGAGAGAGGAAGGAGGAAGGGTCGTGGGTGAGTGGAAGGAGGCAGGAGGGTAAAACCGAGTGAGGCGCAGGCTGGAGTTGGCGTTGGGCTGCCAAGATATGCACGAGGCTCTTTTGGTGCCTGATCAGGCGCTCAGGCGCTCATGTTCTCAGCCTCATCAACAGCATATGTACACCCATACTACCACCATCACCATGCTTATTCATTCCTCTTACAACCTTTCCATCCCTCCGGGGCCAGGCATCTCAGCATGGCTGATCCCTTGTCAATTGGCGCCAGTGTCGTTACGCTACTCGACACGAGTTCAACGTGCCTTGCTGCACTTGTGAAGCTCATTAAATGCGTTCAGAACGCCCCAGCCGAGATCCAGGCACTGCACAACGATCCCAGCGATCTTCAGGGTTTCTTCAAAGAGGTCAAGATTCTCTACGACGATATTGTCGCAGACCAAGATCAACAAGAATCTCAATTCCTCAAGGCGGCCTATCGACCGCTCGAAGATGCGCGAAAGGCGTTGGTAGACTTGAAGAAAATACTCTTGAAGGCAGAATCACAAACTTCTTCCAGCAAACGAAGCCGGCTGGGCTGGGTCTTGCAGAGAGCCAAAGCGAAGAAAATTCACCAAAATTTACGAAGGCTCAAATCGGATATCAAGGCGGTGCTGTTGCTGGTTACCACGGCTGACGGACATCATCTCAGCAGTCGCATCGTCAAGATTGAAGCTCGGTTGGATGACTTGCATTCCACCATTCTCTCCTGTATACACCCAGGTCCGAGCACCTTAGTCCATGTTTTGCAGCCTCAGCTCGAGAACACTACCGCTACTTTGACCCAAGCTCCCGACAATGCACCTATATCGCAAGATCACTCGAGTACTGCCGATGAAGACACTCATTCAAGCATACCACAAGGTACGACAGAGATTGCCCCGTGGGAAGAACCAAAGATAGACGGTACAGTGTCATGTGAGCCCTTTTACATACTTGTGTTAACTCCTCTAGCTTTGAGCAACGGCACACTACAGCCAAATCATGTGAAGACAGACACGTTTCTTCCGAACCATACCATGTTCTTCCACCTCCGCCGCGCGCGTCGTTGCGTTGCGCCGTGTCCCTGTGTATGCCACTCGGCTGGACGATACAAGAATTCCCTGCTCAAGAATTACCTTGGGACCTTGTTTCTGGGCTACTCCGGATCCCCGGGGTTCTGGCCAAAATGCAATGTCAAGGCTTGTCGCAACACCGATAAGAGATCGATTAATCTAGTGTATTGCTTTCCCTTGTGGTTCTCCCAACGAGCACTACACGCCTCGGCAACGTTGTCATCCTCTCTTGGTTGGACGATGCAGCTGAATATCAGACGCAGAGTGCCTTGGGGCGGAGGACAAGATTCGCTGCTCAAGTTTGCGCTGACTGGAAACGTCGACGGCGCCAAGTCACTGCTCGACGACAGAAAGGCCTCACTCAACGACGCGGACCCTAACCACGGACGTACAGCCTTACACGTGAGTGCGGACTAGGGCTATACTTGAAACCTGGCTGACGCGAACTTCCACATAGTACGCTGTACTCCGTAACAAAACGAACATGTGCACGTTATTGCTGGCTGCAGGGGCAGATCCATTTTTGCAAGACGACTACGGCACGTAAGTTATCAATAGCAGTCCTCCCTCATCCTTTCGTTTGTTGTTCTCGCCACTGAACACATATGTAATCTTCGGACCTAAACATCAAGACCATACAAAACTTGATTGATTGACTGACATTCTCTGACCGTCTCAACTCACAGAACCCCATTCCAAAAAGCCTGGGAGCAAATCCTCTGCAAGAGAGGGACGGTCGCCGAGCTTGACGGCTTGAAGCGAGTCTTTTCAGCAACCGAAGAGCTCGAAGCCTGGGAGTTCTCGTACATACACAAGGTCGTGCTGGGCCTGTTTCCCGGACAACTGGCCAAAGAGCTCGAGAGTGAGCAGTACCGGCACCACATCCACGCGGCGGATTCGATGAAGCGGACGCCCCTGCACTGGGCGGCGACCAGGGGCGACGAAGACGCCGTGAGGTGTTTGTTAGAAGCCGGGGCGGACGTCAACTGTCGCGACGACTTTGGCAACACGCCTCTGACCTTTGCGGCGTCGACGGGCTCGGTGCGCCTTTTGGAGGTGTTGATCCTGCACGGCGCCGACGTCCACGCCCGCACGTCCATCGGCAGCCAGGCGATCCACCACGCGAGCCGGCACCAGCGGGCGATCGAGCCGGTGCGGACGCTGCTACGCGCGGGTGCGTCGCTGAACAGCACCAACTCCTTCGGGCACGCGCCGCTGTCCGGCGCCGCCATCGCGAACTGCCTCGCGATCGGGGCGTTTCTGCTCGACGCCGGCGCCGACACGCACACGCGCAGCCTGCACGGCGACACGCCCCTGTTCGAGACCGTCTTCCACAACAACCACCTCTTCCTGCAGATGCTGCTGGACCGAGGCGCCGATCCCCTCGGCGGCGTCAACAACGCCGGCTCAACCATCCTGCACGCCGCCGCGCTCGAGGCCGACGCCCGCACCGTCCACATCCTCCGCACCACCGCCGGTGTCCGGTGGCGGCAGAGCCACTTCTCCCTCAGAGACCACAAGGGAGCCACGGCCCTCGAGATTGCGCGCCGGAGAGTCAGTCCGCCAGAGGGGTTTTTGGACGAGTTTGAAAAGCTCGTCGCGGCGGCAGAGTCGGATGGCGAGGATGATTCGTGATGTAGCCGAGACCTCTGGACGGCGACAAACACTCGAGAAGTTTTTGACCTCTGGCTTATTCAGGTGGGACTACCTATGAGAGAGTGTGTCAGAGATGGAGAACAACCAAGTTATGAACCAGAGATGAAAATGGAGTTATCATTCTTAATCTAATTTTCTTTTTTCATTTCATATTCCACCGGTCATGTTCTACTCATACACACATACACACATAAAATCAATACATACACATCCTCTCAATCCTCTCCTCTCTCTGCCTCTGTGTGTTCTCGCTGTGCTACACCATGACCCACAAGAACCCAGACACTCCCTTGATTCAAAAGGCTGATGAGGTCCTGTCCGCCATATCCCCGAAACCCGTAATGTCCGTAATGTTAATGTCCTGTGCTCGTTTGTGCTCATGTTCATGGTCTAGACCCTATCTATGGAGGTATCCCGCCCTTCTTCGCGATGGTAGAGTGTGGTGTGGATATGGTATGCCATGCCATAGTGTAGCGATGTACGATGTTACCTGGACCGAGTACTCGGTAAGTAAAGTCTCCTTTCACTCCCTGAGACACCTGCAGTACCTATGTACTAGGTACTTGGTCAAGGTAAACAAGGTAGTGAGGTAGGGAGGGAGGGATGGTAACCCGTGTGATAGGGATAGGAAGCCGTGATAGTATACTCTTGTACAATACAGTGATCCGTGAAATCACTGCGCCACGTTCCGACTCCTCGAATCCGCCAGGTCCTGGTGATAGATCCGCACGCGCTCCTGCATGAGGAAGCACGTCTGCTCAAAGACGTCGACCATGAGCTCGCGGGCGCGGTCGCTCTCAAAGTCGACGACGAGAAACTTTGCCCGGTGCAGCTGCACGTCCTTGCGCGCGTCCTCGTGCTCCGGGTATCCCAGCACGGCGAGGTTCCACTGGTCCTCGTGGCCCGGTTTGGTCTCGTAGATTTTGACGGGGACGGTGGGCTTGTGGCTGCTGTTGGACCCGGAGGAACTGCCGGTGCTGCGACCGCCGACACTGCTCCCGCTGCTCTTGATGACCATCTTCGTGCACTTCTTGGCCGGGTTGTTGCAGTGGCAGTTCTCCGGGCTCAGGCGCGTGCCCTCGTCGATCTGGATCGCCACGAGCGTCTTGACGCCCTTTTTCCGCTCCGTGAACAACACCAGTTGCGCTGAGATGGGTCGCTCGATCAACGCCCGACTGCCTGACTGTTGGATGCTGGTGCTGCCGTTGACCGACGCCGCGTACGATCGCGCCCACCCGCCAGGACCGCCTGTGCCGTTCCACCCAGACGACCCAGTGAGGCTCGAATCCTGCCTGGGCCGTGGGCTGGCCGAGTCCGTGTCAAAAGATCCGGGAGAGTGCTGCTCGTCGTATCTCTTCTGGGCGCGACACACCCAGATCTGTGCCCTGCCGCCCACTCCGATGGTCTTCAGCGACGATATGGTCGACTCCTTGATCTGCACGGCCGCCACGCCGGGCCGATCAGCGACGACGCCAAAATTTGTGATGGCTTCCTGCAGTCGGTGCAGGTCGCCCAGTCGGCGGAACGTGAGTGCTCGGCTCTGGTGGTCCGAGGCCTGGGCTTTCCAGCCGAGACTGATGGCGTCGGCCGACGCCTCGGGGAAGCTATAGAAGGGCAGCAGAAACACCCGCTGGGAGTCGATCTCGTAGTTTTCAATCGCGCGGTCGTTGCCGCGTGCCAGAGTGCGGACGAGCCGGATCCGGCTCGTGTTGACCCTGAGGACCGCGATCTGTTGTGCCCGCCCGGAATCGTCGGGCAGGGTGGCGCGGAAGACACGCGTCTCCATACCGTTGGGCTCGGTGAGGTCGTCCAAGTCGTCGGCCTCGTCAAAGTGCACCCACATCTCGAACTTGTCGTCCGCTTCCTGCAAGATCTGTTGGTCGTCGGGCGCGAGCAGAGGCCAGTCGCGCGCCGCGAACCGTCGGCACTCGTGGATGACTCTTCTCTGTAATTGGCGAAAGTACGCCCCCCAGAGGACGTCCAGACATCTGGCTTCGAAATTCGGGTCCCGTTGGAGACGCTGCACCAGCCACACGCATTTCATGAGGTTGATGTATTGGCACGTGTCCGGTCTGACGAGCAGTGGCGGCTGGAGCACAAACTGCTGCGTGCTGTTGCCCAGGTGAAGGGCGAGTGCGTCAATGGCCTTTTCGATGGAGAACGGGATCGATGATCGTGCGACAGAAAGTCGGAACTTTTCTTCGAGGATGGTCGGAAGTGCGAGCAGGGTGCCATCGCTGTCGATATCGAGGGCTCGGATGATCTGTTCAAACTGGAAGATGATGTCTTCGTGGACGATGGAGATATCTTTCCGGATGTCGGTGTACAGCTTTCTATATCAAGTTAGGGACTTCGGCTAAGTGTAGAGGGATGCTCGATCGACTACTTACATCTTGAGCGGGATGAGAACTAAGTTGATCTTTTCCACGTTTAGCCACGGACAGTCAGAGAAGAATATAAGATGGGTCACCCAATATAACAGGCACACACCTTTGAACAGTGAAAAGACACTCGTCTCCCCAGGTACTCAACATAGCTGCCAATCCCCGAGTTCCACTGCACATTGCGTACGAAGCCGCTGGCATCCCGGCTAAAATGGGCGTTCTGGCGGATGAGTTTCTCGCACCGTTTCAACGTCTCCCTGAAGTCGCCAACAATCGTGTGAAAAGCAGACAAGTCCGGTCGGTTGTCTACGCTCCCACCACCGCGCGGGCCTTGCCGATTGACATGCTCGACCGAGTCGACAATGGCCTTGAGACCGTCGCGGAGAAGTAGTATGTCCTTTCCGAAATCGAGGTATTCCTGCTCTATATGGTAGCCTCTCAGCCGGGGTTCTCGCTCTTATGGATGGCAACGGCGAGAGTACACTTACGAGCGCTGGTGTACTGGCTGAACCCGAGGTCGTAGATAGCCCACGCGATGCGTGCGGCGGCGGCGATTTCAGACAGTGGAAGTGCCATGCTTGCCGGCGGGAGAGGATGGCATGTTTCGGTGCGCAAGGTCGAATAGTGATGAAGGAGTTGTCCCAGGGTTGTCCAATGTATTGCTCAGGCTGGTGGCAAACCGTGGGATCTGGCGGATTGGAAACGGGTCGGAGTCAGTGGGTGGTTTTGCCTTGCTTCACTTGTAGCAAACTCGGAACTTCGGATATGGAGAACCAAAAATTCCCACGCGCAGCAATACCCAGTCCCAGAGGTGATGCAGGTGTTAAGCCAGGTCTCAGCTATCCCAAATACTGCGGACGGTTCTCTGCTGATTGAGGGTGTGGGAGCATTGGCCGTGGATTCTCAGCCTCACGATTTAGCCCGAGTCCCAGACCGTTAGTCTGGAGGGGCAGAAGGCAGAAGGTACAGCCTCACGAGCCAATTTCCGAGTCGGCCATTTGACCTGCCTGCCTAGGCTTGAATTGAGGCTTTGCAGAAGACCAGGCGAGGACTTGCCAGTCCAGTTAAGCGCCCAGCCTTGGAATGGTGGAGGTGGCCCAATCAAAGCGAGTATAGGATGGTATCCGTCGCCTTGTCCTACACTTAGCAAGTCGCCGTGGCTTGAAACAATTCCTTTAGCGGCTGCCTTCTGGAAGGTAGGACAGCCCTCTTCATGCTCTTCCTGGGACTCTTGGGACTCTAGCCCGCTTGGCTGCAGTTGGACAGAATGCGCCCAGGTGAGGCGAAGTCGGGAAAGCAAAGAAAGCCCAGAAGAAAGAGGGCATTGCTGCCAACTTGATGGTTTTTCCCTTAATCATGCTCTTGAACCCAGGAAGGGCATCATTCGTATGAATTTGCCCTTTGTTGGGGTCTTCGTTTCGTTACCGTCCTGAGACTCTTTCCCGTTCTCTTCAACACCAGTCGCGTGCACAGAAGACACCATGGAACGCTTCGTAGAGATGGAAATCGAAGATGCAATGGATGACCGCCCCAGATTCACAGAGGAAGAGCTGCAAAAGATCCAGCAAGCCAGGTTACAGCCGAGAACGGTGGTGACGACCCGTCCACCCTCGCTGGGGTATATCTCCATTGCTTGCATCATCATCAACCGCATGGTGGGTAAGTCACAGACAACTCGCTCTGACCTATGTCGACCGAGGGTTCTGATTGTGTGACAAGGAACTGGGATATTCAGGACTCCCACCACCGTGGCCCATGGTACCCATACCGTGGGCTACAGTCTCGTCTTCTGGGCTGCTGGGGCTATCGTCGCGATCGCAGGGGTTCTCGTCTTTGCAGAGTTTGGCATGACTGTCCCGAGACTGACGATAGAGAATGAGCACCAGAAAGAATCGGTGCCTCGAAATGGAGGCGAGAAGAACTATGTCAGTACAAGCCCTGAAAGCGAAAGAACAGAACTGACTCCTGTCGACACAGCTCGAATACATGGTCAAACGCCCGCTCTACCTGGCCACCTGTGTCTATGGCATCCCCTTTATCTGCCTGGGCACTGCCGCGGGCAATGCAATTGTCTTTGCGGAAAATATCATGCTGGCATCCGGCAAGGAGGCCATCAACGGTTCGGTGCGAGGTATCGCCATCGGTGTCATCACCTTTGCTTGTCTGCTGCACGCCATCTCGAGGACCGGGGGTGTCTGGCTGAACAACGTGTTTGGGACGGTCAAGTTCATCATGCTGCTGCTCATGTTCATCCTGGGCGTCGTGTACGCCGGGGGTCGCCTGGGTGGGAACGATGAGATTGCCGCCGACAACCTAAATGTGCACAAGTCCTTTGCGAATGCCGCGACATCATCATACGGCTATGCTGAAGCCTTCCTGGGCATCATCTTTGCCATTGGCGGTTTCAATCAGGCCAACTATGTGAGCCATCTCGCGAAATTGCGCCAGCTTGGGAACCTTAGGTTACTGACATGAGACTAGGTCCTGGGAGACATTGACGATCCTCGAAAGAAGTTCAAGATTACTGCTGTGACCACCGTCAGCGTTGTCAGCGTATTGTATGTCTTGATCAACATCTCCTACGTAAGTTCAAGACGAGGAACAGAAGATTCGATGACAGCAATGACTGACTGCCGCGTAGATGCTCGTCGTGCCGGCCTCGATCTTGTTCGGCCGCGCAGACGACACGGTCGCCCGGCCATTCTTCCAACGCATATTTGGCGAGGACGCGGCCGACAAGGTGCTCTGCGGATTCATCGCCTTTTCGAGCTTCGGGAACATTATTGTCCAGACCTTTACGGCCGCACGGGTGAAGCAGGAGATTGCCAAAGAGGGTATCCTGCCGTGGGCGCGGTTCTTTGCCAACAACTACTCGCTGTGGCCGCGGCGGTCCCGGCGCAACTCCAACAGAAGAGCGGTAGAGACGTCAGAGGACACGCCCGCGGGGGCTTTGATCCTGCACTGGGTCTTCGCCGTCTTGGTGATCGTGCTGACCATTCCCGAGCACAGCCCCACCGACGCCTACCGGACCGTGGTCAATCTATACTCGTTCACAATCGACGCCCTGTTCGGGTTCGCCGTTGGCCTGAGCCTGCTCGTCCTGCGCCTGGCACCGGGCTACCACTGGGCCAGCAAGTCCGAGTCGAACGCGTGGGTAAGCATCTCGGCGGCGCTCCTCTTCACCATCGCCAACGCCTTCCCGCTGGTGGCCGTCTGGATCCCGCCGTCGGGCGACACGGGCATCACGCAGCCCGTCAAGTGGTATCTGACCGGCACGATCGGGATGGGCCTCGTTGGCTTTTCTCTCGTGTACTGGGCTGTGTTCTATTACCTCGTGCCGCGACTGAAGGGGAAGAGGCTCGAGGTGGAACGGGAGGAGATTCTGGACGATAGGAACGGGTACTGGATCATGTGGCATGAGATTGTGAGGTTTAATTGGAGGGTTGCTTGATTTGACGGCCTTTGATGAGTGTCTATGTCGTTGTTGACCTGGATAGAATTACGTTACAGGTGCATGTACATGTGCATTTATGATTGTTGAATACATGACTTCTTCGAAAGGTGACTTCTTCTGGTTGCACGCCTGACCTCAGCCTTGTCACGTGGCGCAACTACTCTTTACAGCCTTGTCTCTATTGGCCAATCACAGATTCTCACACCTTTTCCACCTTGTAAACCGCAGTCAAGGCCACCAAACACCATCACATCCATCACCTCCATTATCCACCGCCCGTCATTACCCAGCAACGCCATCTGCCTCGCCTCCCCCACTCTTGCCATTACTACTGGTGCTACCCGACAATGCGCTGGCATCTCATCGCCAAGTCCCAGACCTGGACCTTTATGCCCAACACGGTCAAAGTGATCGACACCGGTCAGCCTTGACCGTTGTTCTCCGTCCCATTGTGGGGTTTCCCCCACCTTTGATCTCAAAAACGGGATGATACAGACGGGGAGGCCCGTGATGTCTGGCGGAGGGCGCCGAAGGACTACCTATCTCAATGCTGTGACTTGCTACCGAGAACGTGGTGCGCGGTGCACGGTTCAAGATGCAGGATGCAGGATGCACGGTGTATCAGCTTCTCACACCGACTGGTGAGATGGTTGGGTACAATACCAGGTAGTGTATCTCCCCTGGTTTGATCTGGTGTTTGTGTTGGCCGTGATGCTCGCCTTCACCATTGACCTCGCTATCGCCATCGCCATCGCTTCCAGCTGCCGTCGCCAAATACCAAACACCTAACATCTTGTCTGCCGCAACAATGGATCTGCCCATGCCCGAACCGACCATCCCGACCTTGCCGCTGCCTCACTACAAAGTTATTTCGTTCGACGTCTACGGCAGCCTGATCGAGTACAAGGCCCACATTGTCCGATCCTTCCAACCGCTGCTGTCGCGTCTGCCACCGTCGTCACCGTACCTGGATCCGACGCCCCTGTCAGCGGACATCCCGAACAGCAACACGGTCGGGGCGGTACGGTTCCTGCAACTCTTCCAGCGCCAGGAGGACCTGATCAAGCTGGAGAAGCCGGTGCGACGGTTCGACGGGATCCTTGCGGAGATCTGGCGCCGGATCGCGCGCGAATTGCAGGTCGACACGACCGAGGCCGAGGCTCTCGCGTTTGGTAGCGAGGCGGTAATTTCGTCGTGGCCGTGTTTTCCAGGCACCGTCAAGGCGCTCCGGCAACTGCAGAAGAATTACCGGCTCGTGGCGCTGTCCAACATCGACCGGTTCGCGTGGTACACGACTTCATCTTCACCCTCGAGCGGCCTCGGCGACGTGAGCTGGTGGAAGGTCTTCACCGCCGAGGACTGTGCCAGTGACGCCGGGCGGCCATTGGACGAGACGCGTCTGGAAACCCTGGTCGCCTACTGCGCCCGGTACGGCGTGCAGCGCAACGAGATCCTCCACGTCGCGCAGAGCCTGGGTCACGACCACGCCCCGGCCAAACGGCTGGGTCTGAGCAGCGTGTACCTGGTCGGGGACGGGCCGCGATGGGGTAAGGAAGCGGAAAGCAGGATGGTCCTGGACAAGGGCTTGGTCGGGTATGGTTGGCGGTGTCAGAATTTGCAGGAATTTGCCGAGCTGGTTCATCGGGCGTGGGACAATGTGACGCCGATTGAGTAACTTTGTTAGTAAGTTCTCAAGAGGAAGAAAGGAGGCCTCCTGTTTCTTGAGTAACGACCTGCTAGCTGAAATTTGATATTATGCGTGAGTTCTTCGTTTGGTATGGGTATAGGAAATGGATGGGGCGGATGGGGCGGACACCGGGTCTGGTTCTTTGCAGCACACACAGGCGCACACATACGCACACAATATAATTCTCCCTGAGGCACTCGAGTCTAACAAGTTCAAGAGGACCGAGTAAGACAGCTCCTGTATGTTTCTTTTTCTACAAGACAGTAATTTCCGAGTCTATAGGTTGTAATCTGGGAACGGAACCCCTTTGCCTTTCCCTTCTATTCGACGAAGCACAACACCTTCTCTACTGTATTCATTCATTTATTGTACCGTGCCACCTCTTACCAAAGCAAGGTCTCATAGTTTACACCACCTCTTCCACAGTCATAGCACATCAGAAAGTAACCTAAAGATCACAAAGAACCCCCCTGCACACCGTCCATCGACGCCCAAAACTCATCCAACAACTCGTGTCTCTTTACGGCCAGCTCGAAATCCCCGTACCCCTCACCTAGGGCATACGCCTCGTAGAGCCTCCCGATGTTCTGGCCCTGGTTGGGCAGGGCGGTCCACTCGTCGCCGCCCTCGTCGACCGCGATCTCCTCGACGGTTTTGGACTCGGTGCGGTACAGGCGCATGCTCGTGGCTTTGGCCATTTGGGGCCCCGCGCTGGCGAACGTGACGACCAGCACGCCCGTGGTGCCGTAGATCTCCCACGTCGAGCCGGGCGAGGAGGGGAACCGCGCGCCCCCGCGCAGGTGGAAGCTCAGCACGGCGGGCGGGTCGCGCGCCAGCTGGCCCTGCAGGCAGATCTGGTCGGGGGTGTCTTTGTCGAAGACGTCGGGCGATATCGTCCCGTCGGCGCGTTGGATGGGCATCTTCGGCCGCAGGTTGACGGCCAGGGGTCGGTAGGTGCCCGGCTTGAGTTCCCCGACGGCGAAGAAGATCGAGTCGAGCGCGTGCCCGCCGTAGATGGTGAGAGGGTTCGCGCCGACTTTCCGCTGCAGGAAGTGCGCGTACCGCTCGTCGGCGGCGTTGTCGTGCCAGTTGTTGATGACGCCGTGGTAATGCACGCTGTGGATCTCGCCCAGGCTGCCCGTGTCGACGAGCTCCTTGATCTTGCGGATCGAAGGCGACGCGCGGGCCTGGAACCCGATCATGGTCCGCACGCCGGCTTCTCTCGCGAGCGCGGCCATCTTCTTTGCCTCGTCTGTCGTCGTCGCGAGTGGCCACTCGACAAAGACGTTTCGGTGCGCTTTCAACGCCGGGACGACCACGTCGTAGTGGCTGTCGACACGGGTCGAGACGACAAAGAGGTCGACGTCCGGGTCCGCGGCGATGCCGTCGTACGAGTCATACGGCCTGACCGAGTCCGGGAGGTTGTGTGCTTTGATGGCCGCCTTGGTCGACTCGAGGGTCGAATTGCACATGGCGACAATCTCAAAGTTGGGCGACGACGCCAGTCGCGGAAGATGCGCCAGGGCCGCCCAGGCACCGGGCTTGCTGGACAGGCCGACGATGCCGACGCGGATCTTGCCCATTGTCTTCGGTATTATCTGGGAAGTTGCCGTGGTGTTGTGTTGTACGCCTTGAGGAACGAGGTACCCGTCACCACCCGCCCAGTGACCAGGTCAGGGGTTGTTTCTGTACAACACCACAGCTATCCAGTTGTCAAGACTGTATTGATGATGGACGAGACCCGAGTGTGGTTTTCCATCGAGTGTTGTGGTGGCGTCTTTCAGTTTCTTGCCAGTATAGGAGAATGGGGAGGCATGAAATGGCGGGAAATGACCGCATCTCCCCCGAGTAATTAATTATGATTCGGGCATATTTCTACACACAGTAATAATATATGCAGGTCATCCTTGCTTGGTGCCTCATCTTGAGTGGGGAGGATACAATTACTGCTTCCATACTACCTCGTCCCTCATCCCTCGTCCCTCGTCACTCGTACCTTGACCCTCTCTGCCTGACTGTCCCCATCCTTTGGCTAAAATGGGAAACGCAACCTCACCTCTACCTCTCCCCGATCCTCGATGCAGACCCCCTCGATGCACTTGTCCGAGGCTGTGCTACGACTACACTCTCAAGCCGATTATCCTCAGAGACACCTGTAATACTCTCAGCCGTTATCGTCCCCTTGATTAGGTCCGTCGAATCGCGGGGCTCTGTCATTGTTCTCCGCCAGCCATAACCAAGATAGATAGCAAACATCGGCCAGCCACCATGACACCGAGTCAAACGCTGGACGCCGAGATCAGCGCCATCCTATCGCTGGAGAGTGTCCGATCGAAGGCACAACATGTGCTAGACGCCGCGAGGAAAGACTCCCTCAACCACTTTGACTTTGACGAGACCAAAATGCCCGAGGTCGCCGATTTCGTGCTCTCCATCATCTCGGTGTGTTCTCCCCCGGACCAAACTCCCGACAGAGTCTACATTGCTGACGAGTGCACCTGTCGCATAGCGTGACTTTGGACCGGACAGGTACGATCAGATCCCTCCGCATGGACGGTGGCAGCAGTTCAACGTCGGGAACAAGGACCGAATCACCCCGTTGATCGAAGAATGGACGAGCCAGGGCTGTGACAAGAAGGAGCTCGCGCGTCGCATGGTCGACTTGTTGTTTGTCTCGGTGTTGATGGACGCCGGCGCCGGTGATGTGTGGCAGTTCAGCGAGCCGGGAACGGGCCAGACGTACGGGAGGAGCGAGGGCATAGCGCTGGCTACTCTGCACATGTTCTTGGGCGGGAAATTCCAGTCACAGAGCACGGGGGGTCACTTTGTTGATGGTATGTTGCCTCCACCATCAGGCTCTGCTCTGTCTGACAGATCCAGCCCGTGGTCTCACCGACATGACCGAACAGACAATGCAGCAGGGATTTCAGATTTCGACTAACAACGCGATGACTGCTTTCTCATCACGGGTGACGCTCCTCAACCGTCTCGGTGTGTCTTTGCTCAACCACACGTCCATCTTCGGAGCTACGGGGCGACCAGGGAATCTTGTTGGTAAGACACTCTGAACATGAGATTATTCTCTCCACTGTGACCAGTCTGATGATAAGATTCCCTTAGACTACCTCTTACAAAACTCGACCGACTCCAAGATCCTCGACTTTGCCTTTCTCTGGCAGACATTACAACAGCTTCTTCTCCCCGTGTGGCCAGAAAACCGACCACACATCGACGGACGGCCGATCGGCGACGCATGGCCCCTGAGGGTTCTTGCCCAGCGGGCCAAAGCCACAGGCGACGAGCGCCTCACGGGCCCCATCCAGCCCTTCCACAAACTGACACAGTGGCTCGCGTATTCGCTCAAAGTGCCGTTCGTGAGACTTCTCGATCTGACGTGGCGGAACGAACACCTCAGCACCGGTCTGGCCGAGTACCGCAACGGCGGCATCTTCGTGGACATTCCCGTGCTGCGACTCAAGCCCGACGCCCTGCGGAGGGGGCAGGAGCTGTCGGGCCAGGCCCTGCCCCAGTTCGACGCCACGGGCGACGAAATCGTCGAGTGGCGCGCCATGACGGTCGCGCTGTGTGACGAACTCTACAAGATGATTTTGGCCCGACTCGGTGCGAGTGCGGACGGAAAGAAAGTACCCATAAGTCTGGGCCAGATGCTCGAGGCCGGCACTTTCAAGGCTGGTCGGGAATTGGCTGCCAAGTACAGGCCGACGACCAGGTCCAGTCCCATTCTGATTGCGGGCGACGGGACCCTTTTTTGATTTTGTTTGAACCAGATCTTGCCTCGTGCGGTCAAAGTGGGAAAGTTGAAAGTTGAAAACCGGAAGGATTGCAACGGACTTCAGGGAGTATACATAAATTAATAGCACCATATACTATGCATAGTTATGTCCACTCTGGAAACAGGCACAAAACTCTGTCCCTCGTACAAAATGGGAGAAAGTCGAGAAAATGAAGCGGACGCCGCGTCGGGAGTATCTAGTTAGCCCGGTAAAGTAGTATATTCTCCTCTTCTCAATCTTCCTTCCTACCTAGGTGTATGTCCATCCTTGTTATATAACTCCATCCCTCCCCACTATCCCTCCTTCATTTGGTGTTGATGGTATAGATGGTAGATTATGCAAAGTAGACACGCCCGATCTGTCACACACTGACAGATCAGATCAGCTCAGATCAAGGCTAGTCAAGTCACTCATTCACTCGATCTATCTTATCTACATATTCAGGCGAATCTACATTATTTACCGGATCACCACACCATATCGTTGCCGACCCAAAAAAGGAAGAGGGAAGCAAGCGACCGAGAAGATCATGTCCTCCCCACACGTCTTCCCCGACGGTCCATACCGTCGCAACTACTTTTTCGTCGGGGGGGAGTATGTCCCAGAAGAAGAAGAGGAGGAGGGTAACAGCAACTCCAACGCCGACAAGAAGGACAAGTCCCGTAAATACGGCGGATACGTCATGAAAGGCCAGGCGTACGTCGAGTGTTTGTCGCCGGTCGAGGTCGAGGGGGTGCACCGACGAGGAGGAGGAAGAAGAAGACGACCGTTCCCGCTGGTCTTGATCCACGGGGCAGGACAGAGCGGGCTGGTACGTTCCACATCTTCTTCTTCACTGTTCATCCTATATCCCATATCCATGTCCAAGTCCATGTCCACGTCCATACATCCACGGATCTAAATCAAATCGTATTAACACCCCAGGGTGGTCATCCAGAACTGGCTCCACACGCCCGACAACCGGCCCGGGTGGGCGTCGTATTTCCTCGCGCGTGGCTTTACCGTGTACATCATGGACACGCCGTCGCGGGGCCGATCAGTGCCGGATTTCGGCCAGAACCATACAACCTTCACCACGGGGTTTGTGGAGGCCTGGTTCACCGCGCCTTCTCCTGGGAAGTGGGCGCAGGCGGGGAAGCATTCGCAGTGGCCGGGGGTGAGTTGTCTCTCTGTCTCTCTTCTTGGATAGCGGAACGATAGGGTTGTGTAAGACCGTATGGGATGGGAGGAGGAGGAGAAGGAGGAGGAAGAGGAAGGGGAAAGGTCAAGAACAAAGACAGGAGAAGAGCGATGACCGTTTCTGTATTCTGTATGGTACATACCACACTCGACTAACCACATGCCCACGGTTCCTACAGACCGGCCAACGCGGCGACCCCGTCTTCGACGCCTTCTACGCCAGTACATACCCCAGCGTCACCGACATCGCCGCATACCAATCCTCGCAAGCGAGTGCCATCGCCGCCCTCCTCCACCACATCGCCACACCCGCCATCCTGCTCACCCACTCCCAAGGCTCTCCGGGGGGGTGGCTCGCGGCGGACATCTGCCCGGAGCTGATCTGCGCCATCATCGCCGTGGAACCCAACGGGCCCCCTTTTGCCGGGGTACACCCCCACAACGGCGCGGCCGCGCGGGCATGGGGCCTGACGGACATTCCGATCGCGTATTCCCCGCCCGTGACGAATGTCGATGAGCTGGACCTGGTGACAATCCCGTCGACCGAGCCCGGGCGAGACGACATGGTACTGCAGCGGCAGGACGCGGGTTCCTCGACGCCGCGAAATGGCGGCGTCGTGCGCAGATTGAAAAATCTCCAACACATCCCCGTCCTCGTCGAGGTCGGCGAGGCCAGTTACCACGCCCCCTACGACCACGCCACCGTCGCGTACCTCCGCCAGGCCGGGGTGGAGTGCGACTTCATCAGGCTCGAGGACCGGGGTATCTTGGGCAACGGGCACATGCAGATGCTGGAGCTGAATAATCTCGAAATTGCGGCCGTGTTGGAGGGTTGGATAAGTACGAGGGTGGAGGGGGAGGGACAGAATCAGGGGGAGCGGCAGGGACAGGGAGAGGGACGGGGGGAAAGGGGAAGGGGAGTTCAATCCGTCGTGATGAACGGTGGTGACGAGTCTTTTTCTTTCGACTAGATCAGCATCAAAATCAACCAAGACGGTGGGTGGAAGGTAGTGAAGAGGCTAGTCTGGTCTGGTCAGCTCCTTGTCAAGACAAACACGTATATGGCCAGGTGGTATGTGTCACCGAAACAGAGGGTATATGTAAAGGATGGGAACAAGAATCAAAAAGAGAGAGGAGATAGAGGGGTATCGTCCCTCTCATAAGATACGACAAGCCCATGACAGACAAAACATAGAGTCTTATAGTACTCCTCGCTCCTGCGACTCCTGCCTACTCATCAACAACGCCTTCACCCTCGTACTCGTCCACCACTCGCTCCGGCACAAGGTCCCTGAGCAACTTGATCCCCTCCTGGATCACGATCCACCTGATGCGACTCAACCGCTCGGCCATGACGGTCGTGAGGCCCGACGTCGAATACTTGCCCAGCAACCGCGAGAGACGCTCGGGCATCACGCTCGTCATGCTACTGACCAGGACCTTCATTTCCGTTTCGGCCTGCCACCTCGTAGACCCTTCGGTCGTCTTTGCGCCCGCAGCAGCAGATGTCGCGGGTGTCGTCTCATACCGTCGATGACTGGCGATCTGCTGCGGTGGCGCCTTGGTGGTGTCCGCCACGGTCAGGGAGTGAAACGCCCAGCAGATCAGCGTCGAGATGTACAGACGGAACGGGTAGAAAAAGGTATGTCGGACGTCAAAGTGTTCCAGGTTGAAGACGCTGTCCCGCAAGAGGTGTGCCGCGTGCCACACTGCCTTGACCCCAGAAAACGAGCCACGCGCCTTGGCCCACTCCCTGACATTCCCTTGGGCTCGCATGTAGTCCGACCGTGTCACGCGGCGGCCCATGGATCGCCGGGCTCCGGCGTAGATCTGGAGATCGACGATGTCGACGTTCAACGTGATATGGGCCGTGTGGTACACCGCATTCGCAGCGGTTCTAAAGCGCGCAAAGTGGGCTCGTCTCGAGTGGCTCTCGTCAAAAGAAACCATCTTCAAGCAGTAGGTGTCAAAGTCGACTTTCCATGCGTCGTATGCGGCAATGAGTTGTTCCCGCCATTTGTCCTTGTCCAGATAGCCCGTATGATGCATCAGTCCTGTCGAAACATTTAGTAACGATGAGCAGCTCAAATTTCATTCGCTTACTAGAAGCCATCTGATCTACGTGCTTCATCTCGCACTGAATAGATATGAGTCCATTGAGGACTAGAAGTAGTGGGAACGCGTCAAGATCGGGAATTTTCAATCCCGAGTCGAGATCCAGATACGCTGTCAATACGGACTGGAAAGGGAGGAGAGACTCCTCGCGTGCGTATTTCCACCACTCTTCTGCAGAGGCGGCCTCCCAAGCTGACCGGCTACAGGGCAGAGCGGTGCGTATTTCGAACGTGGACAGAGACAGTGGCTGGGAGAAGAGAGCGGCGTTTTGTGTATCCCAGAAGAGACAAAGGAAAGCCACCCTGTGGGCCAGTCAGTATATTATTTAGACTTCTGAAAATCATTCACCTTTTCTGAAGCTCGACACTAATCGCCTTGTGCCAGTTCGACTCGAGAAGCTCAGGCTTGTCAACGACCCTCGGTTGCTGCACAGTCAGACATCCACTTCGCCGAATGAGACTACCCTGTATTAGTTGTCACTGTTGTGTCTCATCCCGGGGAGACGCACTTGACGAGGAGACCATGGAATAAAAACGCCGTGTCATGTGTTCTTTGTCCTAGAGTTGTCAACCACGTTAGTCGGTCCCAGTCTGGGTCGATATGGGAATGCGATTTCACACGACTGGACTTACCAAAGCATTCGAGCAAGAACACGGTCTGGATCATCCATAGCTCTGGCGTCACACAAAACGCTACCCGATGGAACACTTCGGCCCTCAAAGCATCGTACATCCGGTCGGAAAAGGCGTCAATACTGTTGTCGCTAAAGGTTGCACCGAGTAATACCACAGCCGAGAGAAGTAGAGTTTCCGTCCGAGATGGCTCAAAAGAGGCCGGGTGCAGGAGCGGGTAAGAAGCATTGAAACACGAAAAGAAAAGCTCGAGGTAGGTTTGCATGGACGCACGGGATAAGAGCGAGTGGTGTTTGATGGTATCCATGTTCACATCAGCTGCTCGACCTTTGGCGTGGCGCAACAAGCTCAATAGTTTCTGGTGTGAGTCGTCATCCAGCAGTGGTGCATGTGCCAGCCGACTGGGAAGGCTGTCCAGGCTTGACGCAGAGCACGAGCTGTCTCTTTCAGATTGTGGCATCTGCTCAGACTGTTCTCGTGCCCCTCTTGAAGATCCTGGACGTGTCAAGGCAAAAGTAGAAGACCCGGTCTCCCAGAACGAGTCTAGGGCGGAGACAAGCTCTGATGGAGCCGGTATTCTCGAGGTTCTTGTACCAACTGCTGGGGTTGCCGAAAGTTCGTCCAGGGTCTCCGTTGCTCCAGTCGAGTTCCGTAGCAGTGGTTGACAAAGCTGCTCCAGTGATTGTCTCGACGTTGGCTCGCTCTCCGTTTCGGGCGGCATGGTGAATAATTCGTTTAGTGACGAATTCATCGGTTGATGAGACATGTTCGGTGGTGGATTGGGGTTCGTGGTTTGTCCAAATTCCGATGATTCAAGACCAGACATTATGTTGGCATTGGGGTCGATGAGCCAGTCGAGACTGGCCACCGGAGTGAATAGTCCATCATAAGAGATTGTTGCTGTAGCGGAGTGGCCAGTTCGGTCCATTTGTCGTGAACATGGCGCTTCCCCCATAGTGTTTTGTGTCGACGCTTCGTCACAGGGAGCGTCGACCTGCATCTCCAGATCATCGGTCGGAAAGTCCCAGGAAGACCTGGCCATAAACTCAAACATGTCAAATCCCAGTGCCGTCTCGATCAAGCCTTGATGTTGAGGGATTCCATCGGCCTCAAGACCCTGGGAAGTCACCGTGTCGGGCCCAGACTTGGACCTCGACGGAGAGGCCCTCTCTGTATCGACAGATGTGGGAGTATCCAAACAGCTCATGAAGATCGGTATCTGGGCACTCTGCTGCGCGAGGTCGAGAGATTGCATCTTCATCCACTGCCTGCGCAAGTAACTGTGCGAGGGACGATCCCTGACGATATTCCCATCGGCGTCTCGCCAGAGTCTTTTCCGACTCTCAACAATGCCGAGCCCTTCACCACCAGCCTCTTCATCCTTCTGCCGATGTCGCGCCACATGGCGATCTGAGTGACAGCTCGAATTAGCCATTCATGATCACGACCACGACCCGCGCTACGCAAGATCAGTATCTCTCCTTACCTAGGAGGTCGGATCTCTTAAAGTGCAAGCGACATCTCGGACAGGTGTATTCCCCGTCGCCATGGTTCAACATGTGACGCCGCAGGTGGTCAGCGCGGGTGAACCCTTTCTGGCAGGCATCGTTGGGGCAGACGAATCTCTTTGGCTTGGTCGCCATGATCGATGTCCATAGGCAATGTAGATGTCTACGCTTGCACGTGAGAGCATCACAATGTATGCAGAGATCTGATCTTGTGAGGTCAAGGATGTCAGGCCGATCGCAGGACGACTTGGTTAGCGTCAGGGACGCATCAGGGGACTGGGAGCGGGCAACGCCAGCCACTATCAGAGGTGTATCGTGTATGAGGGAGTCAGATAAACCCCAAGCGAACCTCGGTCGAGGCGTTGAGTGGCTATCTTCACGATGGCGGTTGTTGGTGTCACCTAGTTTTCGAGCCGCATTCCGCCTCTTATCAGTGCCTGCGACAGAGTGAGCAGCAATTGACGATATCCTGGCTGGCCTTTGAATGTCACAAGAGGACCGACCCTCGATATCGCTGATAATGTAGTTGGATTGTTCCACCGAAATGCAAAATGGGCGTGGGACAAGCAATTCCAAGTGACGAATAGATTGCGGACGGGCAACACCGAGGAAGATGCGCAATTGATTCCGCCCGCCACTCCAAAACACCCAAGATCTTGGTACAGCTGGTATGTCGACAATATTAGAGCTGGCACAATGGGACTATTAGGGACATGTCAAGAATCAAGATGGTTCATTTTCGCACTGTCACTTTTGCCCCGTTGCGTTGTTGAACCCCCAGAACAGGAATTACAGTACATACAAAGCATGTTTCTTCTATCTCATCGCTCGTGTCCTCGTAGGTATCCGCTCATGAGAGGACGAGAGTCTTTGGAGAAAAACCATCCTTCATGACGCTTTCCCCCCTTTATGAGTCCAGTTTCTTGTACGTTGACCACCCCTCCTCCTGGAGACGGCGCTCCTTGGCCATGTTGTCGTCGTCCATCTTCTTGAGATGGTCCGCCACCCACTTCTGAGCCTTTTCGTCGCTGGTCCCAACAATCCTCGCCGCCAGGATGGCCGCGTTGACGCTGTTGGAGATGCCCACGGTGGCCACGGGGATGCCTCGCGGCATCGAGACGATGCTGCACAGACTGTCGAGTCCGTCCAACGCCATGGCTTTGACGGGGACGCCGATGACGGGGAGGACCGTCTCCGAGGCCAGCATTCCCGGCAAGTGAGCAGAGCCGCCGGCAGCGGCGATGATGACCTTGAGCCCCCGTCCCGCGGCGCCCTTTGCGAAGTCGAGCATGTATTGTGGTGTGCGGTGGGCCGAAGTGATGTGGACTTCGTAGGGGATGTCCATGGTGTCGAGAATCTCAATGCCGGGACGCAAGGTCGCCAGATCTGTGTCTGAGCCCATGCAGACGGCAATCACAGCCTTGCGTTGTTCTGGCCCTGGAGTGAGGGACAGGCGTTAGCGAGGAGTCAGTGATCGGGAGAGGATAGTACTAAGACCCACCACCGCGGTACAATCTTGGGGCGTCCATGATTGGAACAATTGCTGATTTGATTTGGAATGAGAGATAGAGAGCAATGGGATCTCTTGTTGTGTGTGGCTGTATATGTCTGTGTTCAACTCCTGAATTTGCTGGATTCGAGATACAAAAAGGGGAAAAATCCAATGTGCGGTGATGACCGTCTCTCACAATGCAATCCAGTTGGACGATCATGGATGATTATGTATGACCAACTCATGCTCTTTACCACCAACCACCATCATCACCCACCACTGCATTGGATGTCACATTACCTCCCACCCTCCTCCTCCACACGGTTAGAGCCATCGGGTCATGAAGCGCCCAGAAAGCTCCCATATTCAGCCGATTCTGGGCAACCCGAGTCTCACTGGCCTAAACCCAAAATGCTCGACCTGTGCCCTTGTCCACCTCAAACATGGGGGGGGGGGCAGCCCCATATATCGGGAACAAACTACGAAAATGCGTCCAAGAGGCTAGTGGCGGGTGTCTGAACTCAACCAGAGAAGTGAACAGTGGGGATAAATATCAAATTCATACAAAACTCTTGGTCTATATCATGTTGACTCCAAGATCGATGGCCGGTAGGGGGGGGGATGTTGTCA